AAGTTCTGTTTCCTGTGTTGCAGTTAGTCTATCTCTAAGAAGTGGTATCTCATCCAACCTTGAAAGGTACATTTTGCCTGTACTGTTGAATTTTTCAACTCATCTAATGTAACTTTCATTTCCCTGTCTTTGTGTCTTAAATCCTCTCTTTGCTTATCTATTACTTTGGACGCATGATTTTGAAATCCTGTTTAGTTTTGCACCTGATTGTGAATGTCTCTGTGGTCAGCGTCAGTTCTTTTACCTGCAACTGTTTTGAAGTAAAACTTGATAACTTATACTCTTTCTGCTCCCTCATCCCTTTCTCTATTTTCAATTTGTCCTCAAATCCTTTGTCCTGAAGTGTTCTTTTCCTGAGCTCTCAGAAGCTGCTCATCTTTTAATTCTGTCTGTAGCTTTAGTTTAGAGGTGCTCATCTCTTTGACCACTTTTTGTACATTTTCGAGCTGTTCGAGGTGTGTTTTTTTTGTATTTTTTAAAGACAGCTCTACGTTAACAAGGTTTGTGCTGGTTCTTTGAAAATCTCTGTTCTGGTCCATTCACTTTTTTAAATTTTCCTTGGCCTCCTCTGTAGTTGGCCAAGGACCTTGCTCGTTTTAGAGTTCGATGTGTTCATGATGCCCTGCACTTGCTTCTCTCTCTGTATGCTCTGTGGCTCTCTCATCCCTTTCTCTATATATTGAATTTGTCCTCCAATCCTTTGCATGTCTTCTGAAGAGCATGAATCGTCTCCCCTGAAGTGTTCCTTTCCTGAGCTCTCAGAAGCTGCTCATCTTTTAATTCTGTCTGTAGCTTTTGGACGTAGGTGCTGTTCTCTTTAGCCTTTTTCACATATGCACAGGGCTTAATTTGTGCCGGGTCCTACCGGAACAGGATCTGGCACCTCCCAGATCGTGACCAAAACTTTTTTTGATTGGATCCAGCACCTCCTTTGTCACTAAAAATGTCTTAATAAATTTTGTGTAATATTTAATGTAATCTGTTCTGTCACTTTTATTTTGCCTCTGAATTACTGGGGAATCTCTCGCTTTCCTTCTTTTAAGTGTTTTAAAATATTTTTTTAAGTGAAAGAAGGGAGAGGTCCGATCGCGGTCAGGTCACGTCGACACGCCAGAAGCGGGAGTTTGCACACGTCACTCACAACTGCTAATTGTTGTTGTTGTCTGCGTTTTGATTTAGCACATACGAAAGCAAAATGTCCAAAAGGCAATCAAGTTTAATCAGCTTTTTCAAACCGGTGGGTCAGTCAGAACCAAAGAGGGTTAAAGAAGTTTCTGCAGAGGATGTAGTAAGTGACAACAACGTTATCAATAGCAACAGCACAGCAGGTAGCTTTTCTCGCAGCAGCAGGGATGCTAGCTTAGTTGCACCTTTCACCAGCAAAGAACAATCAGAGGAAGACGACGAGGAAAAATTGGAGTCAGGGACAGTTGATGAAGATAAAGAGGACGAAAGCACAGCTTTTGAGGAGACACAGACAGGGGGAATTTGGACCGAGGCTCAGTTCAAAGCCAAAAAAGGTTATTATCCCTGGCTTACAATGGACAAAACAGGATTGGTCTGTGATATTTGTAAAACAAAAAAAAAGCATTACCGTATTTTCCGCACTATAAGGCGCACTTAAAAGCCTTTAATTTTCTCAAAAAACGACAGTGCGCCTTATAATCCGGAGCGCCTTATATATGGATCAATTGGTTAATTGGTTGATCCATACTGGTTGTACACGGCGCTCAGCGACACTGACTCGGATAATGACGAGAGGGAGCCGGGCATGTTGGATGCCGTACTCGCCCAACTGTTCAATTCAGACACTGAAGAAGAAGAATTCGAGGGATTCGTGGACGGGGAATGAACTGAAAAAGTGAGCTTTACGTGTTATACGTAACTGAACAATGTTGAGTTATGCACTAACGTTTGAATTAGCGGTATCAGACTGTGTTTCTTTTACGTGTTTACAACTGAACAAGGCTGGGAGATATTGTGAATATGCACATTAACGTTTGAACATCGTTACCATGGGAGTGAACGGAGTTGTCAGAACGCTTAATAAAGTTTGACTTTCTGACTGTTTTGTTGACATTCCCTTTAGCACAGCTCCATCTAGTGGATGCATAACGCAACCCCAGTCAAACGTTTGACTGCAGTATCTTCTATTCTATGCGCCTTATAATCCGGTGCGCCCTATTTATGAAAACAGTTCTAAAATAGGCCATTCATTGAAGGTGCGCCTTATAATCCGGTGCGCCTTATAGTGCGGAAAATACGGTATGTTATAGGTTTTCTCGTTGAGTACTTTCATTACCTCAAATGTTTCCAACAGTTATCAAAGCCAGAGAAATCCATAATTTTATAGTTTTTACAGGACTTGTGTTGTCACGGCAACCGCCAAGATGAGCCACCACAACAGACACAAAATGCTTATCGTTGCCAAGGAAACAGCGGATGTTATGTCACCGCTGCATAAGGAAGCTGCTACTGCTACGACAGGTCTCATTTTTACCAAATGTTAAACAACAATTAGCCATTTGTTGCTCTTTTTGCACATTTGCACACCTCCAATTCGCACTGTTTACAACTGAACAAGGCTGGGAGATATTGTGAATATGCACATTAACATTTGAACAACGTTGAGTTATTGTGAATGCACTAACGTTTGATTTAGTGGTATCAGACTGTTTCTGTTACGTGTTTACTGAATCAGGGAAAAGTTCCCCTCCACGTTTGGGAGAAGAGTGAACAAGGCTGGGAGATATTGTGAATATGCACATTAACGTTTGAACAACGTTGAGTTATTGTGAATGCACTACGTATAAAGCGTAGTTTTATACGTAAAACGTAGTTTTATACGTATTTATATTTATATATTCACAATATCTCCCAGCCTTGTTCAGTTGTAAACACATTCTATTCTATGCGCCTTATAATCCGGTGCGCCCCATATATGAAAACAGTTCTAAAATAGGTCATTCATTGAAGGTGCGCCTTATAGTGCGGAAAATACGGTACCTTGTCCAGAAAAAACTGTAGGCTTGAAACTGGCAAAAAGAACAGGCCTCTGGCTCAGTTACATCCTCTGCAAGTGGAATAAAGAAACAACAGAGGGCCTTAAGGAAAAAGGTTTTCGAGCACGGGAAGACTAACACACATATCAAACATTTTGCACAAGGCAAAGGAGGACACATTCACAAATACGATAAACAGTAACAAATCCGACCAAGTGCAAACAACTGCAGAGTTTTCCGTACAGCTTACAAAGAGGCCAAGCGCAACAGACCAGCTCACGGTTTTGAGCATGAAATAGACTGCCAGGAACTTAATGGGTTGGACATGTAACGTGGCATGTTTCAGCATGCAACAACACATTTAATTTGAAATTTAAAAAAAAATGCTTGAGAGAATAGTCGATGTGGCTCCAAAAATTGGACTCATGCTGGATGAGGCAACCGACATTAACAAAAAGAGCGCATTAATTGTCTATTTGAGGCTTCAGTTGCCAGAGATGGAGTCACCGGAGAACATATTTTTTGATCTTGTGGAACTAGATGACTTCAGCGCAGAGGGTATTCAAGCTGATGGCCTCTTTAGAGCTTGCTTCATTAAAACGAGACTTTCTCTCAAAAAACGCTCATCGGCCTCACCTGTGTCGGGGCGTCTGTCATGCTGGGGCGCAAGAGCGGAGTGGCGGCCGGACTGCAGACACTTTTCCCAAACATGACAGTATGGCACTGCACCGCACACTGGCTTGAGCTCGCAGTTGGTGATTAATTAATCATTTTAAAATCCTCATGGATAAGTTGTATGCACTTTACAGCACATCAAACAAAAACAATAATTAGGTTTCGCCAAAATATATGTGAGCTCTTTATCCAACTAAATTCTCAGCTCATTGGCTTATCATTCACGAACGGACATTTTCAGTACGATCACGAGCAGAACTTAACATTCTGCCCCGTTCAATTTATCGAGTTCTGATTCGCAGTCAGAGCTCAGGTTAAGCACTGAATGATTCGGTGAACGAATCTTTTTACTGAACTGATTCTAAGGTTCAGTACACTGAAAAGAACTGCTTTTCCCATCACTAGCTCTAGATATTCTCCTGACCTGGCTGTTCATGTATGCACCTCACAGGGGTAAACCCTTTGAGACAAGAGGGGGGGGGGGACTAGAGAAAAGAAGAATAACAAACTGTACTCACTGCTTATTTGAATGTCATGAAACCTCCAAAAAACCAGGAAGGAACCAGGGTTTTTCATTCTTATTTACAACTTGGCTATCAAGAGTGTGTGGAGAGGTCCAGGAGAAAATCAGAAAAAGCCCAATTCATTTTCAGTGTGTATACGCCCATCAAGTGGTGAGTTGAGTGCTCCGGCAAAATTCCTTCCTCGCCTGGAGCAGTGGAGCCGTATGGTTAGGTGTTGTAGGAGTGAATTGCCAGTTAATTTAACCTTATTCTCATGTTTTTGGTTCGTAAGGGTCGGGAGGTAAGTTGGTTGTATTTTTTAATTTACAAGGTTAGCGTGGTTCAATGTTCATGGGATTGATTGACCCTGAAGCTTATTCTTATTCATATTTTCACTAATATGTTGCCGTACATTATTTCTTTATTGTTAAATAAATTCCCTTCTGGTGAAAACATTAAATACTGTCCGTGGCTGCTTGGGAAGTGAGGGACTTGGGCTTTATAAAAGACCATAGACTGTATATTACATTATTATTATTTACAGTCTTTGGTTCAGACACACAGGTGACAGGTAGCCTAAATGTGAAGTTACAATGGAGCATGCAACATGAAATGTAACAAGTTATGAACACATGAAAGTGTTTTAAAACAGTAGTAGTCACTTGTTTTATGCCATTAAACTCTAATCAATAATATTTAAATGTGTATTATTGATAACTTAAACCAGTGTACAGGTGTTTGATGAATAGGCCTATGGACAGTTTATTCCAGGTAGGTGTTGTTTGGTCCTGGTGTGATGTCGCCCTCTAGCGCCTGGAGGCTGAAGTGGACATAACAGAACACAGATGGTGTCCGACACAAGCTGTGGGAATGAACTGCACGAATTAACACAAATTAACGTGGATTAGAGCCGGCGATATTTTGCGGAGAAAATATTGTTTATTCACGTTGTAAGGTATGTGGAAATCAACGTTAACGGGGTATTCCTCCCGTTTATTATGTGTGGCAGCTACAGCTTCTGTGTGTTAGCATGCTAAGTGCTAGTTAGCAGAGGGCCTGCTTTCGGGTTTGTTTAGTATGCCTAGTCAGCTTTAAAGCTAACAGTTGCTCACATTGTTTCAGAAAGCCAGCGACGTGTTTACTCTGTTTATTTACTCGGCTCAGTTTGGATAAGTTTCGGGTCAATAATTCATAACATCTCTTGATTGTGAATAACGTTGTACATAATGTGACGTCATCCAGCCGCTGTGCACCACCCTGCACGCTCACATCTCAATCAGGGGACTAAGTCTGACATTGAAAACTTTGACTTTCTGCAAACATGCAAAGAGAATATACTTAAAGTCGTGACTCTACAGGCTACATCAAAGTTTTATTAAGATTTTTGGGGGAATTCCTCTTGTGTATTTTTGCTTAAGGGTTTAAGAGAGTTTTGGCAGTCATATTCAGTGAGTTATATGGTTAACGATGTAGTTCCTGTTCCATCAGAAAAAAAACATTAAAGCTCCATTGAACTCGACACTGTATTGCAAACACACATTTGAATAATTGAATGTTTTACATCGCCTACACCTCACAGTGTCCCTAGACGTCGCAGCCCTGCATTCCAAAAAGGAAGACGAGTACTTCACCATGAGCTCAGACGATGGTGAGACAGCTCACAGATATTTTCTGTTCCCACTGTGTGAGTCACTGATGAGTACTGTTGACCGTTTCTTTACATTTCTGCAGGTGACATGGAGAACCAGGCTGAGCTCGAAGAGAAGACGAGGCTCATCAACCAGGTGTTGGAGCTGCAACACACTCTAGAGGGTAAACACAGTTGCATGATTGATCGCAATGCAGCACACAGACATGAAATTACAATCCAGATCGTTACAGCAGCATGAAACATGGTTGCATGCGTCAACCTTCTTCCATGTCTGGCATTATGGTGTGCAACTTCCACAGATGACAGTGGTATGAAAAATAAGAGTAACTATTTCTGATCCTCAGCATGCATGCAGCTTGCAGACAGTAAATGGTAACTTTTGACCTTCTTAAAACTTATTGAATCAGTGACATCAAGCAAAAGTAGACTTCTTCTCTTGCAAATAAACAAAACACATGAGTAAAGCAATTGGAAAATAAGTAGTTGTGAAAAACTGCTTGTAAAGATGTCATTTAATTGTTAGAATCAGAGTTGCATCATCATTCTAACTTCTTATCTGTAAAGATTTCTGATGATTTGAATGTTGCTGCTGTGTGTGTGTTCAGATCTGTCTGCCAGAGTGGACGCTGTCAAAGAAGAGAACCTGAAGCTGAAGTCGGAGAACCAGGTTCTAGGTCAGTACATCGAGAACCTCATGTCGGCCTCCAGTGTCTTCCAGACCACCGACACCAAGAGCAAACGAAAGTAAGGAGAACATGGAGAGTCTGACCCTTGACCCTGCTCCCCCCACACACAAACACACTCACACACACACGCACACACACGCACACACACACGCACACACACACACACGCACACACACACGCATGCTGACACACATTCCAAAACCTGAACCCACAACGCCATGGAGGATGGATTCTGAACATCTACGTCATGCACCCTTTAGAGCTGCCTCAAACACCTCAAGTTAACATGCATCATGGCTGGTCTGATCACAGGTGGACAGCTCACTTCACACCTGTAATCAGACTTCTCTTCTGATTGGATCCCATTTCCTCGTTCTATATTCATATAAACTTTTTATTCTTTTCAATTAAGAAAGAATGAACTCATTTTATAAGAGTGTGATGCAGTACAGTGATGTGTGAGACCTGTGATGCAGACTGGAGCTTTTTTTTTTTTAAGATGAGATATCTTTAAAAAGGAAAACCTGGGCCAAAAAAGGGCATGATGATAACCTTAATTTTCAAGTTACAAACTGCTAATCACTTAATTCCAACTATAAAAAAGCAAACAAATAGGAAGAGTAACATAAAAACAATCAGATCAAATATCTACACACAGACAGTGTTGACCTAAAATATTTAATACGGCTTTTTAAAACACTCAGGGTTATAAGATTGAAAGATTGTGAATGTGATAGGTGCAGAAAAACTAAACTTTTTTTTAGAACAACATGCAAGTTCGTTAAAAAATGGCTCATTAAACTAAAACCTTGCGATGTCCGAGAGTGGGTGTGTACTTAAAGCCGGCCAATTCAGCGTCAAATATGAACTGAAGGTTTGTAATAAAACGACAGGTTGTAATGAACCTCAATGCACCATGATACATGCTGTCCAGAATAGAAAGACGTTACAGACAGTTTCATCAATAAGTATTCAAAGGGTAGACTGCAAGTGTTTGTTTCACACACTTACAAATCCTTCTATGCTCTTCAGCTTAGCTCTCCTGGTCTGAGCTCTCATCTCTTAAAGAGTCGTAGGAGCATCCACACCTGTACTTGTAACATGTCCACTTGTGATCAGAAGTTTGAAGCAGGTGTAAATAAGGTGTAAGCCTCAAAGATGTTTCTCAGTCTGCAAATCTCATTAGAGAAGTTGTCCACTAGTTGGCAGTGTTGAATTTATCTCAATGAAACCTTTTTTCATTCTGAAAGATCTGTCAGAACGTGAAAGACCCACATTTAAGCTAAACCTTTCAGCTAAGATATCAACAGACATGTTATAAAAATGTAACACAATATGAGAACCGTGAGAACATTTACAACCCAGATTAGAATATCGGCTTCATCACATGTCCATGTTTCAGGACCTGGGGTTCAGAGATGTGCAGTTATCTAATCCTTAAATAATTCACCAGTTCTAAACATACAGCTGTGAGGTGGGTGAACAGAAAACAAAACTTTATAAATTAATCAATGGAATAGACGACAGCCTGAAATGTTCACATAGTTACGTGCTCTTGTTGTGTGCTTGTTGGCTAAAAACTGGACTGGTGCTTAAATCATAGCATCGATCAGATTAGAGAGATTGCAGTGAAGGAAGTAAAACAGAAACTGAACAGAAGTGATTATTATAGAAATGTCTTCAACAGCATGTCCTAACAGCACGCAACGCGAGACGAGACATTTTTGAATGAATGTCTCGTTTCTGTTTTCATTCCTTGGAAACTGCTTGGAGTCATGACTCCGGCTGTCGAGCGGTGCTGCTCTGTACCGGAGCAGAGCTGACACAGCGTATATGCATCTGGTGGAAGTTATTCTAACCCTGCGCTCTGACCAGACACCTACATGCTAACAGCTAATTCTGTACCCTATGCTAAAGATTTTCTCCCTGTGAAAATATTTGATCCATTTCAATTTTAGTTTGGGAGACATAAAGTCCACTCAAACAACAACAGATCAACAGACTCCTTTACTCTTAGGTTCTTAGATGTTCACTGCCTCAAAGAGATGTTCAGAACTGGTGATGATACTGCCCCCCCCCCCCCCCCCATACTGATAAAACCCTGCTCAGATTTTTATAGAGTTAAAATGTTTACGTTAAACCAATTTTCTCCTGGTCCTTAGAAGCTCCAGTAATTCAGTCTTTGTCCTTTAGTGAATAAACTGATACAAGGAGAAGGCTTCAAGAGAATTTGGCTTCTTAACTTTATTTTTTTGATATTTATTATTCAGTATTGCATTAGTTGCCATGAGCACAGTAGATCTGATTTCATGTTGTATTGTTACTGCTGAAACCTCTCTGAAGAGAGGAGGGTCCAAAGGCCCCGTTTTAGAATTCTTTATTTGAATATGATGTCACGTTTTGTTGCTGCTTATTGCACTATGGGAGTAAATGGCCCCACCTTAGCAGCTGGGTCAGCAGGTCACATATTATGCAAAATACACTTGACCATGTTTTTCACCAACATGTGTCCTTAGCCTGTTTACAAACCCCCAAAGGATGAGAGTCCATCCCCTCCGTCTTTTGCCTGCTCCACTTTCTAGAAAATGTGTGCTCAAACATGCTGTTTGGAGATTCTCCCTTCATGACATCACAAAGGGCAGTAACCCCTCCCCCAGGTATGTGACACTCCCAAATCTAGGTGTTTGTTCTGGCCTCTGAGTCTGCCTTCTAACCGTAAACAATCAATCATGGAGAGAGAAAGCCCAAGCCACACTAGTCCCTCCAGAAATGGGCGTGGTCAGACACAGCTCATTTGTATTTAAAGGTACAGACACAGAAACAGCCTGTTCTGAGCAGGGCTGAAATACAGGGGTTTATAGACATGATCAAATACAGAATCAGAGTGGATTTAGAACAAGAAACTTCACAGACATGTTTTTTGGAGCTCTGAGACTTATTTAAACTGGTTGAAAAGGAGTATAATATGTGACCTTTAAAGCTAAAACCATGTGTCAAATAAGATCAGGTGGTGATCAATCATGTGTATGTGCTAACTGTTACAGTGGCAGAGCCTAGCTTCGCCTCTCCATTAACCAGTGACAAATATGACATGTTGGGGAAGAATAACAACCCTCTGTTTACATTTTACTGTTTGTTTATTTGTTTGTTGCTCATTTTAACTGACTTTGTTTGAATAAAGTTTGATCCTTTTTGATGAAGCGTTTGTCTGGGATGTTTTCTGAGCTAATCCTCTGTTTCATATTTCTCACGCTCACAGAGTCACTAAGGGTGCTCGCAAGGACAAGTGACACACTGCTTTGATTTTTTTTAATGGTATTAAATAGCGGGTGACAAATGAAAGGAAAAGCTTTATTATAGTAAAAGAAGAAGATTGTATAAAATGCTTTAATCTGGGTGTTCCTTCCTTTTGAGGAGACTTAAAGCTGAATGACTAAATCAGTTAAAAAGTTGAAGATTTCTCCAGGAGACTGTTTGAGCCGGCAGAAACCAAACAGGCTGTAACGTCTACTACGAAAGCTTTTAGAGGAAATGCAGCCAATCAAAAAAAGTCCACTTAAAGTGAGGCTCAGATTGTTTTTCAATACAAAGCGTTTACTCAGTACAAGAAAGATTCATACAGAGATTTTTATTAAAAACTAAGATGCTTTTTAAAATCATTAAATGCTGCTTTTCTGTGTTGGATCAAAAACAAAACATGACAGGTGGTGACCAGTAGACTGGGAGGTATAGTAGAAGAAAAAATAACTTTTAGGCCTAGTCCACACCGAGGCATATGCAAACTTATTCCTCGCTATTCCTCTGACCGTATCATTTACATAATTGTCCATTCAGGGGCCTCTGCTTGTCATCATAGAGGGAGAGTAACTGGTTATGTTTATTTCAACATGTAAAAAGTCCAGTTAGCAACATAAAAACCAACACTAGTTCAGTTATGCCTGCCTGCTTTCACACTGATCTCATGTCAACAAAAGTGACAGCATCGCACAATGACTTCAAACAGACGAGAAACCTTTTAGGCATGATCAAATACAGGATCAGAGTGGATTTAGCCCAAAACTCAGTTTCCCCGTCTACCCATGAACACCTTAAGGAGTTTCTGAAAATCTTCACCCTGGATTGGAGTTTTTCAAAAGGTGCATTTCAGTGACCTAAAACGCAGTTTGTGTGTACAAAAGGCCAAAAAGCACAGAAAAAGCTACTTTTCAAAATACCCACCTACGTGTGGACTACGTCTTAGTGGACTAAAGCACTCTACTGAAGAAATCCTACAAATTCATTTGTCAACTGGACAGAATAAAATAGGGTCTTGGTTTTAATGTACTAAACATCCTTTTTGGACAATGTTCTATTCCTCTCATTTCTTACTCGGTGTAGGTGTTTATGTTCTAGTTAAACTGTTTGGATGAATCCAAACTAGCATTAGGCTCTCTAGATGTAACTCGTTCATGCTCGAGTTTCTCAGAAACATCTTAACATCAACATGTTTATACACAGGACCATAAGTACAAACTCCTTCTGTTGGATGATAAAACATGGAAATCTAAAACATTTTGAGCATTTGCATCCGTTGTAAAACAGAAAAACTTTCTGCGTTCTAACCTCTCTCCATTTTTCAAAAGCATCTCCAATATTGATCTTAGTTTGAGCACGTTTCTGCACGTGGAGCTTATTAGAAACATGCAGAGGCTTTTTAGGTCGGGTACAATCACTTCTACCTGAACCAGTTTGCTGCATCAGCTGTTGGTTTGCTGTTTTGCTGTGTGGGGGTAACTTCAAACTGCCTATCTTCTCTGGTCCAAACAAAAACAGCATTCAGGACCAGAATCTAATCTAAGAAGGAGGACATACTGGCTGCTGCATTGTTGACAGAGAAGCTTCAATATAGTTTCCTTAATGTCTGATCATATAGTAAAGTCATTTTATCATTTCATTCAGTACATATCTTACAGATTGATCCTTTTGAAAAAGAGACTCTGGACATAACATGGGATTTCTCTTTCACTCTGTACTTTGGGGATGATTCCTGAAGGTCTCAGTAAAAGAGACTCATTCCTCTTGGAGATTTTCAACACTGTGAGTAAAAAAGCGATAACTAAATGAGGAATCCTCCCACCATGAGACTCCTCATAAAAATCACAAACTATCCGCAGTATGGAGAAAATGACTTTTATACTGCGGGTTCAGAAAGAGAAGGGAGATGAATTTTGGAAAAACTGGAATCACAACAAACATAAAGACTTTAGAATATAAATTTCTGTTCATCAGAGAGACTGATGCATTGTGTCCTGTTTCTGTATTCTTTTATTTTTCAATGTTTAAACAGGAATGTTGTAGCCCTCATTTCTTTTGTGCTTCTAATGTAAAAAAAAAAGAAGAAATTTTAAAACTTTTCCGTGCACTGATTGAAATATGTCGTTTACTTTTATTACTTGTATGTTTTGTGTCTTTTGCATGAAAAAGTGATTTGTAGTCAAAACTTTTACTTTGGGTCTGGTCTCTTTTTTCCCTATAAGCCTACTTTACTCTGTACTTAACGCTCGTACTTAAAGGCCCTGACACACCAAGCAGATGGCAAAGAACTAGTGGCCTCTTATGTTGGCCAAAAAGTTGCACTTGAACACACCGCTGACAGCGTTAGTCCGTTGTTATGATAGGAGAAGACCATTTTCACACCGCTGTCGGTCACCCCTCGTAATATAGGTACTTCTAATCGAGAATAATGTCTGATTGAAAGTTGAAAATGGCGCTGACGTTGTCAACCCCATAGTCTTTTAGTGGAATAAGAAAAGAAGAGGCGGAGACGATAAATAAGGAGAAACCGCACTAATGAGTGAAAGCATGGATAGAATACTATAGTCACTAACATTGTCACTCTTCCACATTTACAAAAAAGATCTGATTTTATCAGACAAATGTTTGTAGTTGCACTTTAGTGTTTGGTTTTGAAAGTTAAAACAGGCCTGTTTGGATTCTTGTGAAAAATGAATTCCTTAATTTCTGTGTTCAGTGTTAAGACTTGAACATAAGTCTGTAGTGTTTATGAAGAGATCATCTTTTGTTTTGGTTTAATTGATTGTTTTGGAATACAAAGGAAAAAAAGAAGCATAAATTAAATACTCAGGAGCTGAGGTACTTCGGTGTAGTTTTATTTATTTGTTACAACAAAATATAATGTCAGAGTTAGGTATAACAATATGCTAGTTAATAAATTAAAGGAAATAATGAGATTTTTGACCAGCAGTTAGCTCCACTCTTGACGAGAGACATGATTCTCTTCTCAACTTCATCACTTCACACGTTCAACAAAGTGACACCAGAACAAACACTAAAAGTGGTTCCTCTTCATTAGGGACACAGTCATAGGCCCTTTTTCAAACCAGCCACTACACCCTCTCCCTACCCACTTCCCCTCTGTTTGCGCGTCCTCGCGGAGGGTTCGCCATATTAAGTCTGTCCCAAACCAATTAGCAGGGAGTGGTAGTGGGTTCTAAAACCCTCCACCAGCGAGTCTGCACCGATGCCGACTTTCGGATCACGTGCAACGCCTATTGTGTCCGGTCGTCATGGATGAAGCAACCTGTGAGTTCAAGTGTCAATAAACACTGCTCCAACTAAGATAGACATTTAATATCATCATCAGACGTTAACAACTTCAAATGTGTATTGAGGATTCAATCTATGTTTATTTATTGTAAAGTGTTTTATATTTACTGGGACTGTTGCAAAAACAAAAGAATATTAAATCATGTTGCAGACAACTTTTTGCTGTTAATATTTATTTCTTATTTTTCTACTTTTGATGTCTGTGAAATCTCAATTCAACAATAAAAAATACACTTTTTGCTGCTCTGATGTTCAACAATATTATCCTTGTCTTTGCATTAATTTAGGACACCCTGTTCTATAAAGTTACAATAACTTAACTGAAATTAAACAATAAACAATGTAGGCTCAATCTAATAGTTTTGTTGTAAGTCTACACTCATATAACTAAAGAAGAAGAATAATCTAGGCTACATAAATATTTTTACAGAATGCATTAGCTACAAAGAAAAGGTGTTCCCGCAAGATACCGCTGAGTAACCATGGTAACACACAGTTCCTGTTTCCACCTGAGAGAGGGAGGTTTTTCCCAAAGCCTGCCGCTGTATTTCTACTCGACACCTTGATGAAGGGGGCTTCACTCAGCTGTGAGAGTGACTTCTAACGGAGGGTGTAGGGGTTGGTTTGAAAAAGGGCCATGGTCTGTTTGAGGCACTTCATGAAATCCTTAAAGGAAGAATGTGCAACTTTTTGATCCAGTATGTCGCCCTTGATCACCAGCATTAAACCAAAACAAACCGCTATTTGGCGACACCTCCACTATATTGTAGCCTCCGCTCTTCTCCAGTGACACAACTCCAACCCCCCCTTTCTTCACATAAGAAGTTCTTAAAAGGGATGCACAATAATTAAGCATCATTTAGTACAAGCGGTGGACAAATTGTCTTTGGCTTGCATTTTTGTGTTAGCAGGCTAATGTTAGCGCCTTCACATTGCATATTAATTTAGATGGAATGAACGTGATCTAAAGACACGTACGTGACATCTAAATAAGCAGTGAGTATTTTATTCTTCTTTTCTCTAGTCCTTGACTAAAACAGCTTTATCTGTAAGAAGAGGAGCTGGCTGTCCCGTGCATGTAAACATGATGTAAACACGGCAGACAGACATTTACAGTACATAGGACATTAGTTTCTGTATAAAATGTTGCACTTTCTTCCTTTAATTAAAAAAAAAGGTTCCTGCCGTGTTTTTCAGCAGCACTGGAAGCTGAGGCCTGTGTTTGGTTTCCCTCTTCACTGTGGTCATCAAACTTTAATTAGAATCTGAAAGCCAGAACAAGAGTGAGCGTTAACACAGTAGGTGAATGACAACACGTACATACGCACGCACGCACACCTGATGTATTACACTGAAAAAAATCTAATCTTACCAAATGTCTAGTTTGAACTCATAACTCATATCTAATTTCACTTCTAATAAGCCACATTCACCTGACGAGTCCAAATAAACATCTTCTCTCAAGATATAAAACTCAAAAGATCAGGTCTGACTCACTAACAGGGGAAGCAGTCGAGAAAGTCAATTATAGGAGGAGAGGAGGAGGAAATGCAGTCAAGCCTGAAGCCTGCTCTTTGGACTTAACACAAGGCAAGGCAAGTTTGTTTATATAGCACATTTCAACAACAAGGCATGACAAAGTGATTCACACAAGACATCAAAAGCATCATGACATAGGAAAGAAAGTATGTGGTCAGACTGGTACCTGTTGAAAACCTGTTATTGAACTGAAAACACTCCTCTGTGCGAAAAGCTTTGAAATTACTGAGAAGAAGGCTTACGACACACACACACACACACACACACACACACACACACACACACACACACACACACACACACACAAACCTCACTCAGTAGAGCCCAGACGGCAGCGTCTGAGTGAACCACCAGGCGGAGAGCTGAGATCGGCTGCAGCGCTTCTTCAATTTCACCGTCAGCTACCCCGTTCTCAAACCCGCCTGAAACACACACATTGTTTTCTCATGTGAAGGTATAGATAAAATAATGTAAGTTATGTCATTGATATTCAATGTTTAAATCATCTGTCACATTACTAACCTAACCCAATCTGAAGATGAGTTTATTTAGAGTTTCAAATGATAACTGAATAAAACACTTTTTCTTGTCAGTTCAAATAAAGCACACTGTCCAGGCTCCTTAAAGTGGCGCCCTCATTCAATACAAACAAACCCACAATGCAATGCTGATGTTAATCAGAGAAGATTTACAGTACATTGATCAAAATGTCATTAGCATGGCAATAATTAAACCAACAGCAGTACTGAAGCTCAAACTCTAGCTTTAGTGATGCTACAGCTAGTGTTTGAGTCTGTATTTATCTTATCAGTAAAACCCCTCATTTAGGGCACGGTCACACTGGCCATCTGTACCGTGCCGTACTCAAGCACGGTACAGCGGTCACACTACACATCAAATCATCCGGCATATTTACCGATAACAGCGAATCCTTTTTCAGATTGTTGGAAGGAGGAATTCGATCCGTTCACAGCTTCCACTAGTGCTGACGCCTGCAAAAGAAAGGAACAGATATTAAAGAAAGTTTAACGTTTCAAAGTATCAGCAAAGTCATCCAAATAAATCCTGGGTTTTTCCCATCTTTATTATAAGTTCAATGTGACAAGGAGAAATCCTGACCAAAATTTTTTTTCTGTCAAATCTGCATTTTTTAAAATATTTCCTTTTAGTTAATTCAGGAGATATGAAGCCAGAGTTTCACGCTACAATTGTGGAAGACGGGCCTACTTGATGTTTTATCAAAAAGTTAAATGTGTGTAAGCTGAAGGGTGGGACCAGAGGCCTGTCCAGAGCCGTGGCAAACTGGTGAATATTACGGACATAGTCATTGTGGCAAAGTAAAGAAAATATGATCACAGTGTGACAAAACGACAAACGGATAAAGCTTGCTCCAAAATGAGAGTGAACCTTTGAGTTGCTTTCACCCGTTGGTCTGCTTTCTGTTGGACAGGCAGGTGTCAAACGCCGGCGGTTAGCTTGTGCTAATGTGCGGTAGCTTGCAGTGTTGGTACAAGCAGTTAACGTACACGCTAACTCTGCATTGAGAGTGCGTTTCTGAATGTATCATCGTGATATACAGTTAGTGGTGAGGACTCTATAACCTTGTCGCTCTTTTAAAGGTGCAGAAGTGACACCAGAGTGCTGAGCTCTTTAACTACCCGCTCTTTGTTTTCTATTTAGGACCATTTGGCTATGAAACCTGTGACACCGTGTTCAAATAAGGATGCAAATTCAGAATGAGACCTTATTATGTTATTTTTATACTTCAGCCTCTATCATTCAGCTCAGGTTCCAGGGTCACTACTAAACTGTTCAGGAGAAAAAGAGAGAGAGGATTTTCTCTTTCGATATGTTAAGAATCAAAATAAACAAAGTAGGGTGCTACATTTTCTCATCCCTAATCCAGTCGACATTTGGATCAATAGATGTTGGCTTGCAGGACATAATAAAACACACAAAACGGAGTAAACATTGATCTATAATCAAACCTTTGAAAATACAGGTTAACATAGAAAGTAGTCTCCTCTGCTCCTGATGTAGGTGTGTTATTTTATTAAGCTTACACCCTTTTATCTGAATACTTTTATTATAAAGCTGAGCGTGATAATAAAAAAACAAGCACACGGGGAGTAGCTACAGCAGATTAGGTTGTACAGAGATAAAGTCCAGTTGTTAACACAGGACGGTCGCTTTCACATATGAAGTTTGTGCGTTCACTCTGCAGTTTGTTCAGCACATCAAAGCCAGACAAATGTTATGTACTGTAGCCAGCGGCCACTAGATGGCTTCTGCCATCTGACCTCGTGCTGCACTATGATCTGAAAGTAAACAACAGGACAGGAGAAGAATGGCGTAGTTTGTCAGTATTCTGATCTATAAAATGGAGATGAAGTAATATGCTGTGTCAGGCTAAACTGGCATATCGACCAAAGCGATGTGTAACAGGCTTGACAGATGTTAGGCACAGGCATGTACGGACGGCGCGCACGGTCCTTTCAAACATTAAGTCGTTTCAAACTGATTGCACTTAGAGCGTTCACAGCGCTCAACACGGCCTGAAGAATGGAATAACCTCCTCAGGAATCCTTTAAACCCTTCCATTGTTAAAGCTCCGTCAAAATCTGAACGGTTTAAAGTAATTCCAGGCCCTGTAGCCAATCATTGGAATGTAGTACTTTTAACATTTTTAAAACTTACTTGATGCCTTTACAGGGAAGTCCACTGGTTCCCCAACATCGAGACAGATTTCAACTAGAGATGCACCAATCAGATCATGGTATTATAAATCAGTCTAATCCTGACTCCAAATCTTGATCTGGTTTAGGTTACAATGGGTTGATTTATACAATTCCGTTTTATGGAGCTAACAGCTGAAGGCCAAACTGTTTGGTGGTATTTCATGCTGGTTACGGCAGCTACATCTACAGCCACATGCCATATCTGCAAAGCTCATGTTTCCAGGGGTGATGAACTATGAACCAAACAAAAAAGGTAGGTGAACACACACACCAAACAAGCACACACATACGACATTCAACATTCAAAGTGCAATCAAAGAGCACTGAGTGAATGAAGCTTGTAAGGCGAAACAAAATGATGCAGGACAGAGTAGCAATAAATAATGTTGCTAATCTAATGTGGGTTAGAAATTAATAACTATTCAGGTTAATGGTTAACTGGTTAAATGGTTTGGGACCCAAACCAGGTTGTGAAATTAAAAGCTAAAACTGATTCAATAAAACTTTTGTAGAATTCTATCTGGACTGAGGGGTCGACTGGAAGAAGAGGCGTTGCTGGCACTTGGAGGCGTTGCTGGACTGCTCGACCGCTGTGCTTTTCCGGTTGTTGCTCCTAATCTTGGGCGCTGCCCTCCACTGGAGGGCAATTTTGAAAAGCAGTTGTAGACCCGTTTGCTGTCGGGCTCGGGCAGAGAATCTGACCTCTAACCTGGATTTAAATTATTCTTTCTGGAGGCTGATGCGTCTTGCACGCTGCCACTGCTGATTTAAACAACACAAACTACCTTTAGAGAAGACGTGGCGTGTCAAAGTGGTTCTCCTTTAACTAGCTTTGCTGAATTTGTAACATACTTATTCATCCTTTTCTTGTCATGTGTTTGTGTCAGGAGTGTTTCCCTCTCTGCTCTGAGGGTGTTTCACCTGCAACATGAAGCCTCTGATCTCATCTCGTGTCCCTCTAATCTTCCACACTGCGTTTCTGTGTCCGTCTTACTTTACCAAAAGGTCTCAAAAGCCATGACCACTTTTCCCCTTTAGTGTGACAGAAGTGTCGATTCACACACGCACGCACGCACGCACGCACGCACGCACACACACAAACCAAAAAGAGAGAGAGAGAAGGAGCCTGGGAGTGATAGCAGGCTATGGTGATAGCCACCAACACCTGAGATGAAAGCTGAGATCTGCTTGACGACAATAAAGGAACTGAATAACACACACTAGAGCGCACACACACATGAACACACACACATACACACAGTACATTTTACTCACATGGCTAGGTAGCACTTCCACTGTTGTGTTGAAGAATTTATCTCCACTGTGCTGGACATTTCCACTGCGAAACAGGTACCTGCAGAAAAGGAGACAACACAGGTGTATTAAAACGTAATGTAAGGGCTGACACACAACTTTGTTTACAGGGACACAAATAGTCAGGATAAATATCAAAAAAGCTTCATGGAAAGACATCAGTCCGGCCCATCCTGTAAGAAATTGTGTTTCTAACAAACAAAGAAGTGGTTTATGCAGATTGCTGTTCGGATCAATATCCACGTTCTCACATGTTCTGATCGTGTCTTCCTGGTTGTGGTTAAACTATTTTTACTGCGCGGGTCTGCCTCTTTCTTAAACTGGGCATGTCTGAAGCTCATAATTTGTGTTTGCCGTCTAAACTCCGACAAGATCACTAATCAGTTTTAATTTGCAGTACTGGTGCAGGTCAGAGCTGGCTGTGAAAAATCAGAGGGAGAGACCAGAAATGCTGCAGCTTAAATAGAAAGCTAATTGGTAGGTTTTGTCAGGTGATTGTTGAGAATGAGGCATGTCAAATGTGAAATCAGTGTCAGGAATGGGAGAGAAGAGGAGAAGGTAATCTGTGGACATACAGTATAGAGTGGGCGGCCCGGACAGATAAGAAATATCTAGAGGCGTGCCGCAGAAGCGGTGTTTTTTTACAAAAATGAGCTGCAGTTAAAGCATCAGAGGCATTAAATAACTACATGGACTTAACACATTGTAATCAGGGTGGTGGGTAACTGTGGTGAAAACTCTTAAGGCTGTTGGTCTAAGGTGGAGTGATTCTATAGAGAGCAGGTAAACGGCAGAGTTAACATCTGTCATCCACTTCATCTTGGGAACCTTTCCTTTTAAATCTCAGTGCAGAGGACAAGTTGATCACAGAATGAAAGAGCTACTTAACAGCGACAGAGCTGTGTGTTCAGTGAGAGTGAAACCACTGTCAGAATGTTAGGTCTTGACAAACACAGTTAACCTTTAGGTTAAAGAAAGTACTGGAATTGTTGCAATAGATTGCTTCAGCTGACTGATTTGAAAAAGGCTGTAATGGCTGTAGGGTTGTCACAACACCAGAGTTTTTAACTTAGATATGATACTAGTAAAAATAATTTCATCTGAGGAATCGTGCTCAAGCACGTTACAAAACATTCGTGCCTAATTTGAAAACTCAGAATCAGATTGTGAAGAAGGTAATGCAGCCGTTTAATTACGTGCAAGAAAATCGTAGCAGTCGCATGGATACACTCTAAAAAAACATCACTCCCCTCTCCACCTCTGCTTCGATCAGGATCATCCAGATTTTTTTTTTATTCAAAAGTTTTCAACAACAGAAACTGGAGGTGTTCCTATTCTGTCTGATAACTTTAATCCTGTTGGATTACTTTCAAACAAACATAATATACCCCCATATAACGTAACGTAAGACATCATCATTAACAAATGAGCAACGTCATGATGAAAGTCTCTGCTCATTATGGGTGTTATTTGGGATCAGTTTAAATAGGATTATGCAAACAAGGTTCTCCCGCGTTTGGATGGTTTCCTAAAGGTTACACACAAATTTCAGACTGACCGGGATATGTGGATTGGCTGTGAGAAGTTGAAGAGGATGTAATCATGTTTGACGGGTGATGACGCCCAGAAGAAGTCCTCTCCTTTGTACACTCTCTCCAGACTGTGCCCCTGGTAAACTTTCAGGCTGCTGCTCAGCGCTGCAGGAGGGTTTCTGTGGGCCTTGAACAGAGTCTGACTCCCAAAGTCCTTATCCTGGAGAGGACCACAGACAAGAACACACACAGACACACAAGGACAGAATAAATGTGCTTCAAGATTCATGCAACACATCACCTGAATCCTAAACATGCATGAACAAGGCAAACAACAATACTGTGTTATCTAGTCTTTTGTGTATCTTGTAATTTATCTGTTTACTTCATTATTTGATGGAAGCATCACCATGTTTAACTAACAGGGACAATTATTGTTATCCCTTTGTCTTACCGCTGTACAGTTTTTCTTGCTACGTCATTAGCAACCATTAACATTTGCAATCCTCTTTTATCCACCCAGAAGGGCTGTTCTTTTGTCTGCTGCCACCAGCAAAGAAAACGAGCCAACACAAATAAAACCAACTACTGAGTAATAAAATTGTTTTTAGTTTCATAACAGTTTTTAGAATTCTTTGACAAATACAATTAATGGCATCGCAGTCTAATCCCACTGATTACGGCGTCCCACAGGGCTCAATTTTAAGTCCCATCCTTTTCTAATTTAACGTGCTCCCTCTGGGTGGCAGTACATTAAACAATAACATATCTCTACATTCATATTGTATGCAGATGTCACACAAATCTCCCTGTGTCTCAAACCTAATGACAAAACAAGCCCTCAAACACCCTATAACTGCTTTAGTTGGATTAGAAATCGGATGTCGGACACCTTTACCAATCTGGATCACAACAAATCAAGCGGCTCGTATTTTTGAACAAGTGCTCTTATCTTTGCTTTTGTTTTTGTAACCTTTATTTTATAATGCACAAATATCCCTGAAATAATCGCTAACTGTAATTGTGTCCTTTCCCCCATGTTTTTGACTGTTGTTTGCAGTTTTATGCAGAACAGTATTTTTTTAAGTGCCACATAAATTATTAGTATCAGTAACGTGTATTTATTAACTTTACATTAGCACTAGGGCCTGTGTCCACTAACAATGTTTTTGTTTTGTGCTAGCAGTGCCCATTTTCTGCACAAAACAAACGCAGTTAAGCATTTTCAGCATCTTTAGTGCAAACATGCCCTCCGTCGCCAGCTGTTTTTAGTCAGTGCGCTAGCAGATAGATGAAAATAGATAAACTTTGGTAACACTACCATTTTCGTCAATATCCCTTCTCCCTCAGCAACCAATCAAAATCAAGAAGCGCTGGTCACTTCTGATGTAAACTTTGGAGTTTGGACCGTTGGGACAACCCAAGGGTTATCTGGGTGTTTGTCAAGAGCTTCTTATGGAAACACTCCCACTTTACACACATCCGTGTCACTGTTAAGTAGCTCTTTCATTCTGTGATCAACTTGTCCTCTCCTCTGGCACTTAAAAGGCAAAGTTCACAAGATGAAGTGGATGACAGATGTTAACTCTGCGGTTTACCTGATCTCTATAGAATCACTCCACCTAAGACCAACAGACTTAAAAGAGTTTTCATCTCAGTTACCACCCTGACTAAAAAAGGCTTTTTTTGTCTTCTGTGGTGTAATTAATGCCTCTGAAGTTTTAACTGCAGGTCATTTTAAAGAAAGACATGTCCACTACTGGCATTTTTTCTGCTGGTAGCGCCCATTTCATTACAAAATCAATGCCCAGAAAAGGTGTGTGATGTGATATCTAGTATAATCACATCCACACTCACATATTCACTCTTAATATACATGTCTACTTATCACAATGCAGAGAAAAATGTATTAAATATTCTAAAAGATGCACACTGAGCAGATTGAATAAACAGGAGGAGCTGAACTCACCTTCAGATGCTGAAGTTTCCCGGACAGCGACGAGTGGAGGCCGACATGCTGGAAGAGCGACGGCTTGTACCTACGTCTGAGTGACGCCTTCTGCTCATTACAGTCTTTCTGCATAAAACAACACAGCAGCATGACGCTCACTATAAACTTCTAAAAATATTTGTTTTCCCAATAATATATAAAACAAGAATTTTTCTGTCGTTTATGGTCTCTGCTACATTTCTCTTTATTTCAAAGTTTAGTTTTCCTTTCTCTTTCTGTGTGTGTGTGCGTGTGCGTGTGCGTGCGCGTGCGCGTGAGCGTGAGCGTGGAATAAATAAATAATAAATGAACTAAAGTCAGAGACCAGTGTTTAACGCGGTCTGATTTATGTGCTCCCTCTAGGAGAATCCTCCAGTAACAATGGTTGTACGATGCAGTGTACCCAGCGTTCAAAAGCAAATATGTTTGATCCTTTTAGGTGAAGATAACTCTTCTTCACATTCAGACCTAAAACAAGAGCAAGCTGCACGGAGCAGGACATTTTTCTGGGTTTGTATGCTTTATGAAGTAGATCTTGAGTCAGAGCAGACAGTGAGGGACATACACATAAGGTCACATGATGATTTGAAACTCTTTAAGAGGCAGACTTACTACATCTCTCTCTGGGTTACAAACTTTGACCCACAGGATGTGATCCAACAGCCAGTCGATGGGTTTGTCTCTCTGGAACATCAGGAAGAACTCGGAGATCATTGGGAGGTCGCTGGTTCGAAACATTTTGCCTGGAGGAAAGAACACACAATGGCTGAGGAGAAGCTCATCCTTCTCCTGGCATGATTTATCTCATGCACCCCGATGTCAAGTTCCTGCTGCTAATACCCGAGTCGGTTTCTTTTCCACTGTATTATGATTTCAAACACACACCTATGAATCCGAGCTGAGAAAACTCCAGGTAGAGCCACTCTTTGGAAGCTTCCTCATTGGTGTAGGTCATCATGTTTCTGAGATAGTCGGCCTTTGCAATGATGTCGTCCTCTAACTGTGAAGAAAGAACAGAAACTGATTTTAAAAACTCACATCAGAAATGTTTGTATTGAGCGCCATTACAGAAAAAAACTTTAACCAGTTTTTAAAGGTTTGAACTTGGAAACATTTCTGTAGCGTTGTATTTGTGGTTTCACTCCGACAGTCTTCATCGTGACATCTTCCTCTGCTGAGGATTTAGATTTTGTTTGCTTCCGTCATTCCTGAACCTGTTTGAACACGGAGCTCATGATGTGCTCAGCTGTGCCTGTTTGTCTCAAACACATAGCTGACGCAGTGGTTTTTTTGGTTATTCTGAGGAAACTCATCCATAGCAAGCCATAACAAGACGCTCCTAGGAACTGTGTTTGGACAAAGACTCAACATTCATACAGGCTGCTGTTCTATAGCTGCACATCATGGAAGATAATGAGGGTCTGACAGAAGAACATTTAAACAGACATTTTCTCTTGGCGTTTGAAAAAGTAGTTAGTTAAAATGTTGAGAATGAAGTCAAACTTCATTGTTAAGATAAAAGAGAGCTCCTACGGTGTGAAACTGTTAGGAGTAGTGAGGAGGACTTTTAACAGAATGAAGAGTTTCTGAAGCTGAAGAGAAATGTTCTCCAAACACTACATTTGGACTCACGGCAGAACAGACAACAAATATTTATGCAACATTTCCAGCCAACAATGACTTTTTTAAGTACATGTGAAGACATGCACTGATGAGTTTCTCTCCATGTGGTTACCTCGACAGGTGTATCAATCAATGATTAACACTCTTCATGGTGATATAACTAAAAAAGAACTATAAAGAAACTTCTGCAGGCTGTAGGCTATATACTTATAAAGTACAACTTACAAATGATCACACAGATGATCATTTCAAAGTGTTTATAGTTTTAGTTTTAGTTTTAGATTAACCAATCAAAAAGATGGGACAAAGAAAAGATGTGTCAAACCTAGCAACGGGGTCGACCATGTTGCTAGGACCCGCCTCCTCACTAAGATAAACGTTTCTGTCTCTTCCTCGCTCAGAGTTGCTCCGAGAATGTTCCTGAATCACTCTTAAGCTAAAACTCCTTGCTAGGATTTGTTAAGCTAAATGAGGAGCTCTCAGAGGATTCTCAGAATGTTTGTGAATACGGGCCCAGGAGTTTTAGGAGTTTTGCGTTACATGTGTGAAAGCACTTGGATGATTAAAAAGAAACCAAATGGGGCGCTGGTGGTGCAATGGTTAGTCCGTTTTCTCCTGTTTTATTTTGTACTCTCATGTCCTGGTCTTCATATCTAGTAGTTCACCATGTACATAAGATTAGAAGGCTGACTTTGAACCCGTACCTGAACATAGTAGGTGCCTTTATCCTGAGCGTAGAGCATGAGGAAGCTGAAGTCCAGGTTCTGCTTTGTTCGCCATCTATGAGCAGAGAACTACATACTGAAACATAATCCATGTAGATCAACCAAAGAATACTGTTAAAGTTTCATGTTTTAAATCAGTAAGCCAGTGTCTCAATCATGAACGTGTTCACTAATTCAGGTGGTGACTTTACAGACACGTTTTGAGCTGAAAATCTTCTAGAAGACACTTTTACTCAACCGAGCATCAAAAATGAAAAGTAACAGAGGAAGTGAGCGTACTTGACTCTGTCCTTGGAGTCTCCTAAGGTCTCTTTGAGGATGCTGAAGTCGGGGTAGTAATACTGCGAAGGAGAGACGACCTCCAATAACCCCGACAGCACTTCTGTGGGAAAACTACAAATAAAAGACAGTTACTGTATATGTATATGTGTGTGTGTATATATATATATATAGGCCTACGTGATAAAACCATAACTATAATTATCGCAATATAACTTTTCTCTATAGAAATATAACGTTTCATGTTTCATGAAAGTCTGACAGACTTAAACTTGTCTTTACACCACCCAAACACTGGGAAAGAGGACGAGGAGAAGAAGAAAGAGACGATGAACAGCCAATCATGTGGCAGGGATACGGGTGGGCTTACAGGCGTTTGGTGTTGAATGGAAACACAGCCGAAAAGTTATTATAATTATGATTATTATTACATGAACCAGAAAATGTAATAATACATGCTGGGATCAAAATCATCCAGATTAAAAAAAAAAAAGTATGCTGCCTTGATGTGCTTATCGGAAAAAAAACGTATTTACCATATTTATGAGTTAGGAGCATATAAACAGCCCTTCAATGATGTCATGACAAGTGGAGAATCTGGAAATTATGATACTATCCAAGTTGTTAAATTGTGATGTTTGTGTGACGTTTCAGGGCAAAGGCTGGAGGTTTAGTCTGATTGGTTTTTGAACAACTGAGCATTTTTTAATTCAATACATCAGAGACACTGAATGTGGGGCTAAAAACATCCCCACAGGTTAAAAAACCTCTGCACACCTTGTCGTCTTATCACATTAAACTTCTTGTTCTATAATCACTGAGCCACTAAAAGCTTTGAGGATTTTTAGACTCAAAATCCACGTGGGATTTGTGGAGATTTAAACCATTTTCCCTGCAATAAACCAATGTCTTGAACAAAGTGAGCTTTGGTCTTCTGGTGCTTGTCTGAAGGGAAAATCTGTCTTCTTTATTATCTTGAGTCAAAAATTCCAAACCTTTATCGTGACATCCAAAGTTAACATTCAGCAATAAGCTGAATAATATAATAATATAGCGCAAATCCAGTGCCAATAATACACTCCATGGAGGGTGTGATCACATCAGTCAGTGTTTCCCCTACCATTATATTAGGGGGGTGTGATAGTAGGTGTAACTGATACCAAATCACAGAGCAGAAATACATGAATACTGTACTCCAACTTTTAATTGATATTATATATTAATCTTTACATGGTTTGCTTTATGTCCCTGGACCACCAGCAAAGAGTCTTTATAGGCTGTAAAAAGATTTCTTTTGAATTAAACTTCCTTTAGACCCTGGTCCCTGCACTTTTCAGCACTAAGTATCTGACGCTATCTGCACCTTTCGTCTGCACGGAGCTGCACTCTCATGCTGACAGAGCTCAGTTCTGTCCACACAAGGAGGATGAGTTCGGAGGGGAGGGGAAACGTTTTCAGCTTATTGAGAGGCCAGCCTCAAAAAAATTTAGTTTCACGGTTTGAAACAAAACAACATCCTCGTCATGGTAACGGCTCCACACATGTGGCTGAAGTGTGGAGCCAAACTGTGGATTTAACCCCTGGTTATATTAATAATAGTAATGCCAAAGTCACATTTACAGGAGAAAGTTCTGCTCCAGAAACAGTCTCTGTATGTTGGACACAAACAGTTTTTTTCCTGTTTGCAACCTTCACTTTGTCATCTGAATGTTTTCACAGGTTCACAAAAGCTACAACCACAGGATGTGAAAGTCCTTTTCTCACTAAAAAGCAGAAGGAAACATCTCTTTAGGTTTTCTTTGTAATTTAACTTGCAATTCTCGTATTCAAGGACGTTGCGCATGACGTTGCGACACCTCGGAATCAGAAGAAAACTTCCCACTTCTGACTAAAAGTGAAACCCAGTATAGGACGAGGAGGGCAAACAAGGTGAATGTGTGACGTCTGACTTACAGAGATAATGAGAGGTGGGACGCCTGTCTCGATTGCAGCGCTGCTTTGTGATACAGGATGATAAAGAGACGTGTCGGTGTATGTTTACAAACAGTAGAATAAAATATTAGTTTTCACACGAACACACCTCATTTAGAACTTTAAAAAAAAAGCACAGACACAAAAAGAAACAACGCTGCTCAGGAAACCAAAGTACGTGGCTAAAAAGTGAAACTGCCACATGGGAGGAAACGAAAGGCAGGGGGACTCACTTGTTGGCGATGAGCTCTGCTATGCTGCTGACGTACTTGGAGTCGGTCTGAAGAAAGAAAAAAGGACAGAGTCAGTAACGGGGGGGGGGGGGGGTGTTCTAATGTGGTTAAATAACACCAAACGGGATCTTAGCAGCAATGAACAGAAACTGGAGCTTGTCGCATGAAGGCCAGATCTAGATCTAAGTAATGTAAGTCGGCATCATAAGCCCTATTCACACGGGACTAGTATTACCTGGGGACCTCTAGTAATTTGTAATAAATGTGGAGGTCGTCTGTGATCTTAATCCCGTGCGAATCTGCCATGTCCGTAATTTGTAAAGTAAAAATTCCACCACAAATTACCTACCATATTTCGCCAAACACAGAGGTTATGTGATAATATTAGTCCCGTGTGAATTGACATCTCTGTGATTTGGGGTAGTTTTTTTTAAGGTTTTTTGTGTTCTCTGCACCTTTTTTCTGCCTTTTTCCCGGTTCCCGGAATTATGGAGGCTGCGTTGGCAATTATAAATGAAAGTTTTGACAGCTTTTTGGGTGCAAATTCAGGAGGCTCATCTACACAGCATGGAGACCCATATACAAGAAAGAGCCAACTCATATCCATCAGAAGAGCGAAATCTCCAAAGATGATTAGATGGATTACATGCATGGAACATTTTTCTATCTTTTACACAGAGCCTTGTGTTATACGAGTAGCGCATGTATGTCTGTGAATGGCTCAGTGCGAGTGAGGAGAGAGAGAGAACGAGGGGAGTGTGTGTTCGGCAGGTGTGTGCGAGAGGCACTTTACTGATGCCGGGGACCAGAGTAGAAAACGCGCAGAGAAACTAGTCAGCATCTGAAGTGTATGCACACTTTGAGTCCTGTGTGCGTAATAAACAACCAGTGGAAAAGACGACACTGAAGTGGAAATAAAGATGAAACTCGAAACATAACATGGTTCCAACCAGGCCAGATAAGATTACAATCTAAACAGGTATAAAGAAAACAAAAGCTCATGTGACTTCAGGCTCAACATACCCGGCTCACCCTCTTATTCCTCTTTAATTAATAACATCTTAAACAAGCAGAAACGAGCTGGACAGGGTTAGGATTCAAAGACAGCAAGTTTACTCTATATCACATTACATACACGTTTACATACACCTTACTGCGCTCCAGGCATGGAGCCAGAGCTCCCTCTACACGCATCCCAGCTGAGATATGGAGAGGTGTCCACTGCTGCAAGACAGTCGGTTCCAAATTCAGAGAGAGGATGGAGAGGGACAGGAAATTTAAACCATTTTCTACCACCGATGTGATGGGGAATGTTAGGTCACTCGCCTACAAAACTGACAAACGTACAGCTTAGGTAAACAGTCAGCGTGTCCAAAGGGAGTGCAGTTTGCTACATGGGAATATACCGGATAGTCACATCAGACTGGACAGTTTGGAGACAGTGGAGGATGGAGGACAAAATCAAAGGCATTCTGGACAACCCTTCTCACCCTCTCCATGCAGAGAGAAGCAGATGAGCAGTTCATCCAGCCAGCGCCTCATCCCACCCAGGTCACACACAGGACTATCATCACTATCACCCACCATTGACTCCCTGAATCATTTCTACCACACTACACTAAGTTTGAATTATTAGACCTTCAAGTCCATACAATGTCACATGCTACTACATGATGTCATAATACTACTAAGGTGATTTTGTTTATATTTATTGCTTAACGGTCTCTTCTTATGCAAGCTGCTGTTTTAATGGCTTTGGTACTCCTGATCACACCATCACTTCATCCTGTAACTCGTCACTCAGCACAACATGTCCCAATGATCTGTGTAGTTTTTGGCCCTTAATGGATGTAAACTTGATTTATCCTTACTAGTTAATAGTTGTAAATAGATTTTATTTTGATTTATTCTTGTTTTACTTTTTTTTGTTAAGGAAGACAAACCTACACTCTCGTACAAGACACAATGATGTGTACGAAACCGGAGACGCATCATGGTATAATGAGTCCAACGTGTTCAGTGAAGATGAAGTAGAATGCATGCAAGAAAATCACCACAGTCCATCACTGGTACAAATGTTGACTCTTCCTAGTGATAAAAAAGAGCTTTTGTTTCTGTAGAAGAAACCCAATTTCACCCTCATTTTTTAAAATTGGACTCTCTTCATGGGTTCTCGAGGACAGATTTTCTTTTTTATTCTTACTTTTATTTGTACTCGATTGAACGCTTTTTTTCTTGTCTTTTTACTTCTGAAAAACTTAAATTTTCCCTCTGAGGGTGAATAAAGGAGATCTTACTAATGTCTTATCTTATGACATAAATCAGACATGTGACGTGAATAAACCACACTGATTGGACTGTGTAAAAATGAACTGCACAGCGTGCCTGTCTGTGTAAACAGCTGAATGTTTGCATTGCACGTTTATGGTTGTTGCAGTTGTGTTGGGTATACTGCTGCTGGTGGTAAATCCTGGTTTCATTTGTTAATCCTCATAGGATATAATGCTTTTTAAGTGAGCAGTAGGCTATGATAGTAAAAAGTCCAACTATTGTCTTAATTATGACTTTCACAGAGGTAGGACTTGTGATACTTCAGCTTCCCAAAAATGTTTTTGCTGCAACAGATGCCAATTAATCTGTGATCCGTTTGGATTACCCCCCAAAACTTTGGACTGCATGTGATCCTTGGATCGATGGAAGAAGTATCAAAGTATCCACATGGTGATTTGTGGTCTGTTGCACCATGACTAAGCTGTGTATGTGTGTGTCCGTGTGTGTGTGTGTGTGTGTGTGTGTGTGTGTGTGTGTGTGTGTGTGTGTGTGTGTGATTGTGAGTGTTACCTCGGCTACAAAGACGATGATGAGGATGTCTCTTTTCTGTGATGGAGTCAGGCTGTAGAGCAGAGAGCCGAGTGTGCTGACCAGGTAACTCTGCTTCTCCCGCTTCACTGTGGGAATGCCCATCACCACAGACACTGAGGAAGGACACACACACACACACGCACACACACACATGTAATAATAAACTAATAAAACAGTAGCAGTGACATCACAGGCAGGGTTGTGAAGAATTTTAAACTTAGATATGATACTTGAGATACAGCGGAGTATTAGGGCCCCGTTAAAGAAAACATTTATATTAAATACGTAAATCGATTTAAAATAGGCTATGTTTAAAATGATTATTCTGAAAGGTTGTATCAGAAGAGCAGCCATCTGCCTGCACGAAAATTATAAAACGAGAACCCTCAAAGATATTTGCCACAAAAGAGACAACTACCGCCAAGTCCAAGTGTTTTGTTTTTTTTTCAGGAAAAGTTTCTTTCAGTTTCTATTCAGGATCCTGATATGACGATGTGATGTACCAATAGAATGTGTAGATTCATATCTGTATGAGTAAAGCCCCAGCACAACCAATCAGATATTTTGAGACCTTGTCAATCAAGTTTTAAAGCAGCTGATTCCACAGAAAGTTAATATTTAATCTGTGTTACTGACCACACCAGGAAGTGTTTCCTTAGTTGTGAAACCTTTATTAAATTATAACTTAAGGTGGCTGCTGCTCGTCTGATAACTGAAGACTAAAATAACAACTTTATGCTTTTGAAGTTACGATGGTAGTTTCGTGTTTTTGAATGAACAAAATCTCTGTCACTCTGTCTAAATTGCACAAATTATAAAAGTTTGATCTTTTTTGATTAAAATATGGGAGATCGTATCGATTTGAAACATGTTTTATTGAAAAGTATTTATATTTAAGTCTTTAAAAATCTGACACCAAATAAGGATACAGTTGGCTACGATTGTGCTAATCTAAAACAAGCATATCTTGATTTTACTTAGTTTCAACCATCCCCAAGGATTTACACCAATGTGGATAACACTTGACATCAAATCCGGGGGATAATGTCAGTAAATTCAAGTTAAAACACAGACTTCGTTTATCCCGTGCGAATGCACCGCACGAAACACAGACGTGGTGTGGTCATTTCTAAATCACATGAGGTCCCCAGGTAATACTAGTCCCGTGCGAATCGAGCTTTATACTGTAGGGTCGGCATTCACAGTACAACAGCAGCCATTGTTTGGCCTCAAAATCCCTCTTCATAAACCAATGGGTGACGTCGCTGAGACGGCGTCCATTTTTTATACATCGGTATGGTACTAGGCCTGGCGATAAAACAATAACGCTAATCATCGCGATATAATTTTCTCAATATAAACATAATGTTTGATAAATTTAAACCTATAATTACACAAGAAGTCATGTGAGGCTGAAACAGGCAACACCACAAAACTTCTCAAACATTTGAAGCAATATCACCGTTCGAACACACTAAAGGAAAGAAAGGAGTGTTAGTGGAGCCTCAGCAAGCACCATGCCAGGAAGTGTTACTGCCCAGAAGCAAACTCTCATATCAGCGTTTTCCAGCACCCTGATGATTATCCATATCCACTTACGTGACATTTTTCACTGTGATCAAAATCTGCAATATTTCAAAAACATGTTCATTCAACTTTATATCTCAACAAACAACCAGCGAAAAAGATGACACTGAAGCAGAAATAAAGATGAAACTTGAAACATAACATGGTTCCAACCAGGCCAGATAAGATTACAATCTAAACAGGTATAAAGAAAAATGATCTTCAATTTCTTTTATGAATTTTTCAATTTAGTCTCTTAAAGTTTCCCCTTCAGCCTTGTCCTTCCCTTCTCTAGACAATGCCTCTCTCAGGTGTGTGCCTCTCTTATTATTCTTTGTTGAAGAGATGCCAGCAGTGTCCAGTTTTTCTTTTTTTCTTGCATGAGTTTGTTAAAACCTGCTAAGGCAGATGCACCTCATGGCATCTACAAAAGGTTGTCTGCTGTCACTGCTTTGGCATTCCTGCACTCACTTCCTGGTTCTCAGAATCAACCCGATTCATCTCAGGAAGTTCACGGCTAACAGACAAAAAGATTCAACCTTCCTTGTCAGCACCAGAATTACTAGTCGGACGAACTGATAATCAATATTTGTATTTGCTTTCGCTTAAGGCTGTTCCAATGTGCACTCAAACTGTAGCGTAGCACTCCCCACTACCTGGTGCTGTAGCCCTACACTGGCTGTAGCCCCGGGCAACAGACCTTCTCTCCTCTCATCACTACCAAATCACAGTGAACGTCTTATTTTACTACAGCTTTAAATGTTTCTTGAGTGTACTCATTTTTATTTTCTTATTGCTTTTATGACTTATCTTATTGGCCATCCATCTTTATTTTTTTGGAATTTCATTCCTATTAATGTGCATTGGTCACTAATTGTTTTTTACATAAATAAAGTGTGATTGATTGATGGATAAGATATTCCTTATTCCCAGAGGGGAAGTTCAAGTGTTTCAGCAGGACAAAGACAAGGAAAAGTGTGCAATTAAGTCCAAATAGAAATGAGAAAATATTTTAACAACTATTTAGAACTACAGTAAGTATCAAAAGAAACTTGTCAGGCAGCTACAGTTAAAAAAACAATTCATTACTGGCTTTAAGTAAATGCTCCATACCTCCCCTGCGTCCTTGTCCCAGCTTTATGTTGGGTACGAGGCTCTCTGGATGTTGTCTGAGATGGGGCATGTAGAAGTACATGTTGGGCTGCAGGATCGACTGTCCATCTGAAGTGTTGTCTCCCCGCTTTCTTGTTTCTGTCCACAGAAGGAACGAGAGGAGGAGGCATACAGTCTATGCAAAAAAGCTACTTACATCACAGGCAGGGTTGTGAAGAATTTTAAACTTAGATATGATACTTGAGATACAGCGGAGTATTAGGGCCCCGTTAAAGAAAACATTTATATTAAATACGTAAATCGATTTAAAATAGGCTATGTTTAAAATGATTATTCTGAAAGGTTGTATCAGAAGAGCAGCCATCTGCCTGCACGAAAATTATAAAACGAGAACCCTCAAAGATATTTGCCACAAAAGAGACAACTACCGCCAAGTCCAAGTGTTTTGGTTTTTTTTCAGGAAAAGTTTCTTTCAGTTTCTATTCAGGATCCTGATATGACGATGTGATGTACCAATAGAATGTGTAGATTCATATCTGTATGAGTAAAGCCCCAGCACAACCAATCAGATATTTTGAGACCTTGTCAATCTAGTTTTAAAGCAGCTGATTCCACAGAAAGTTAATATTCAATCTGTGTTACTGACCACACCAGGAAGTGTTTTCCTTAGTTGTGAAACCTTTATTAAAATACAACTTAAGGTGGCTGCTGCTCGTCGAAGACTAAAATAACACACCTGAGAACCATACACAACCATTATTTAGGAGTTAAGACATTGACCATGAACTGCAACTTTGCTAAACTATGGTTTATTCAACTCTAAATATCTGTAATACTGTATATTTCCCCTCTGTACAGTCCTGTCTGTCAAGTTGCAACTTTTTTTATCTCAGTTGAAACCTTTTCATAAAAAAGAAAAGGCGATAGGGTTAGAGTTCCTCATGGTTCTGTCCTGGGTCCAAGCTTTTTCAGTTTGTAACAACTAAAGGTTTTTGTCTGAGAGCACACTCTTCCATTACCTCTTAGAGTTGTTATTCCTGATGATCTGAACCCTCTTTGACAGTTCACTTTAACAGAACTTTACCAGGAGGAAACAGATATCCTGGTTTTTGTTCCAAATATAGTACATTTTCCTTAATTGGTCTAACTTTTAAAGCAACAATATGAAACTTTTTGATCTTAAAATATAAGTTTCAAAGTCAATGTTACAACTATCAGTACAACAACATTCTCCCTCTTGTCCACAGATGTCATAGTCGCCTGCTTATAGCACTATAAGCCGCTGTTCTCTTGCGAGAAGTGCCAGTCTCTATACTGTTGATACACTGGCTGAGGCTAAGAGGAAGAGGACAGTGAAAGATGAAGCCAAGAAGGGAAAAAGAGAGAGTGACTGAGCAAGAAGCAGAGTGTACAACCCTGCAGATATTATTCATTATAGATTAAGATGTAATGTTAGAATGGTTGTAACCGGTGTCATCATTGTCATAGTTGTCTCATGTTAAGCCGCTTTACCGGCTGCAGTAAGTCATCGAACCAAAGTTTTGTCTCAGGTTTGCACACAAATAAATAAATAAATCCACCTTACACCAAAAGTTGTCTCTACAATTAGCTGTAGGCTCTAGAAGAGTCACATTTGCGCAAAATCCGGTTATATTACCATACCTTGTCAGTCAACGTTGTTTTTCGTTGGCTTCTAACAACACCACTGGTCTGTTTGTCAACAAATGCATGTCAGCACTCAGCACTGTGTATTTTACAGTGCAGTGCAAAGCACATCAAGCCAAATGTATACGTAATGTTGCTTTCAGCAATCAGCTGAAAGTTCTTCATAATTTAGATTTATAAAAACACATCAAGAACTCCCTTTCCTGCAAGAGACCGCAACATGTCTCCTAATGTCAGTAAATCATCTTCATTTCAGAGTCCAAAATAAACTAAACAAAAATAGGCTCATCTCACTCATATTTGAACGTTTCTGGAGCTGCAGTTATTTTTACACACTATTTAAGATTTTTGGACTGTAAACATAAAAATATATTTACATACATATACATTTTCTGAAAAGTAGAAGACCTGAACCCACTAATTTAGTGAATGGAGTCTTCTGCCAGGATTTGTGTTTAACATCACGCACTACAGTCAGTTACCCTGGTTAGCCCTGGTTCACAGCTAAACTAACCGTTGAGGCAGAAAAAGGAGGAGGCCTTTAAGAGGCCTTTAAGGGACAGGGAGAGTTTTAAAGAGGCTAAATACACCTTTAGAAGGGCGGTGAGAGAAGCCAAGCGTCTTCACAATGAGAAACTAAAACAACAGTTCTCCTCCACTCTGTGAATGACTGGCACCTGGCCAACAAACTGAACGAGTTCTACTGTCACTTTGAAAGAATGTGGTACAGTCCAGAAATTATCCCTCATAATAACTTCACTCCACAACTCACCACAGCATGGGGCTCACAACTCTGAAAGACTGTCTATTCCAACCAATTGTGGACAACCCGTCTCACCCGGGACATGGACTGTTAAACTCTGATAATGCTATTATGAGACCTGATCTTAATTGCTAATGGCTTTACTGCAAGAGCAAACAGGTAAGGAGAAAGCCTCATCCAAGGCAAAACGATTCTGAAATCTGCCCATTGGTTTATACAGACGCCTTGGGGGACTGATGAAATGACATAAAACCTCGAGCAAATAGCGCCACTGCACTCGGCCAAACGCCTTTTCGACATCTAAACCTACTACCACGACGGGGGACAAACTATAATGAGTATGTGATATCACGTAGCTGAGAGAATCACTCCCATGATTACCCGGCAGCCTCAGCATCATCTTTTGTTATTGTTTTGATTGAGAGCGCCCTGGTGGCGGATTTTACATACTGTGCATTTAATAAGGGCAGTATTTATCATAAAGAAGTCAATCCTTGAATAAGAATTATGGACTTGGGAGTTATAGGGGTATTCTCTCCTGGATGGGTGCATTGTTCTCCATATATTGCAGAGGCCAATAACTGTTAAGTTTCCCATTAACGTCTTGGACATATTAGAGGGTCGTTTACGAGGGTTAGATCTACCTAACTGTATGTTTTGTGCTGAAATACTGTCACGCTCTAATGGTGTTCACACACATCAGACCTTCACATGCCTGTTGGACACAAACACAGTACCTGATAGGATTGTGGAGATGTTGTTGTTGTTGGTGTTGGTGGTGGTGGTGGTGGTGGTGTTCGTGGTGTGATGGGTGTTGTTGACAGCTTTGGATATGTTCTTCAGCTCTTCCAGCATGCTGCTGAGATCCTTTCTGACCTCGCCTCCCAACTGCTCGGCCACGGACAGGCGCTCGTACAGGGTCTGCAGGTCGAGCTGTACTGTAGAAACTGGGGACAAACACACAAGTTGGTACTATTGAGAATAAAATGTTGCGCTGTTGTGTTGGCAGCATTTAAATAAATATCTAAAATCTCATCAAGTGTAAATTATCTTATGTAAGCTGGCTACAGAGTAGACAAGATGTTTAAGGCCCAAATCGCTTTAACAATTATCGCATAATAAGCCGTTGAAACAGCTCATATAGGCTCTGTTCTCCAGCACTGGAGAGCAGCCCTCCCCTGGCAGCCCTGCAGCATTCTGCCCCTTGAAAGGCTTCCACAGAGAGCTGGCCAATCAGAAGAAACTAGGCAGGTGGGGAGGGGGGCCTTAAAGAGAAATTAAGCAGCTGAAAATAACTGTTTCAGGGAGAGGCTGAACTGAGGTTTCTTACTAATGCGAGTATAAGATAGGACACTCTGATTTTTGATAGAAGAATACATGTAGAGGAAATGGCCTGGAAACACAATTATTTTTCAATACTGCCTTTTTTTCCATATTAATGCAGACAGAAAAATTCATAAGGTATAATTCTAAACTTGCATTGTGCATAAGAGTCCTGTTTAACGTATGAACATCTCACATTTTGTGATTTTTTTTTTAATTGTCCAGAGAGTTTTCATTTTACGTATGAACAAATACAATCTGCCACACGTGTACTTGTTCTGATCGGGCTTCATGTTCAGTCTCATTTGCAGCTCATACTTTTTCTCCTTCCTGACAGATTTAAATCACACAGTGACTCTGAAGTCTCAGTCAGGTTTCCTGAAGCTGACTGAATTTGAGTTATGTGGTCTGACAGGTCATTATTTCTTGTTTGAAGAAAGAAGGAAGTTAGAGAGCCAGCTTGGGGTCGTCACAGTGTGACATTCACAACCAAAACACAAAAGAAGAAGCAATAAACAGTTCACAGGATTTACTGCTATCAATAGATCTTTGACTTGAATGGCGTATCTTTGTCTTGCAGCATAAATTAATCATAATAGCAAAAGTTTCAATGTGTAATACAAATGCTTAATCAACACAACACAGGTCTGTAAATCTGCAGTGTCTCCCTGACTTTTGAACAATCTCACTGAGAAATCTCTATAACTGTCAAACTGTTGCACACAAGGCTGCCTTCTTCTGATACAAAAAAAAACTGGTAGCTGAAGCTATGAAAACTCATCATTTGTCCCGTATTGTAATTCAAACATTATCAAAGTTGGGAATAGTCTTTCTTACTATGCATCTTTTTCTTAATTTCTTACGTTTCTTTTATAATAGAAATAATAATATTTGTATGCTCTGATGAATTTAGACTGTATATGGCTGCATTTTATCGGAATTTAAAATATCCAATACAAAATTGTTGTGGGGGGGACAAAAAAGAGTGGTGAAAATAATATTTTTCTAAACTAGACCATTAGATTATTATTTCTGCCTCGGCCCAGAGTGATTATTTTCAGTGTTTGGGGTCAATTTTCCAGACCCCGGATGTAGAGGGTGACAGTATGAAGGTTTAATCTTAATAAAACGGTGTCAAAATCTTTCATTTCCTTAAGGTATCCATTTAAAGCAGATACCAAAATAAGTTAAAGTGATGAGTTAGTTTTTTAATACTACATTTACTGATTTACAATATTTACTCGTAATTTAAAAGATTTCAACTTTTAAATTGAATTGAAGATTGGAACATCTTACCTCCATGATTGGGAATTGATTTAATCCAGGTAAACGACACAAAACCCGCGAAAGCCAACAGACATCCAAATCTGACGGAGTAAAACCTCATTTCATTTCATTTCTCAAAGACAGTAAATCCGTTTTAATCCGCCGACCGGTGTGTTCCCCAGCGGGCCAACAGGAGGGTGTGAGCGGCTCAGGTAAAATGCAGGTAATGAAATGTGACGCTGTAAACCACGAATTGTGACTTTCTCCACACGTCATAAATTAACACCCCAACAGCATACCTGCATTAACCTGTTTTTCCGCCTCCACAGACCGAAAGTGACATTATGACAGCTTCACCTCTACTGTCACTAAGTGACAGTGCGATGCTCTGCCAGGTGTTAATGTGCATGACGGGGAAACAGCGACACCTGCCGGGGGAATCAAGAAAAGGCTCATCCTGTCAGGAGTGCTTGACAATGATCATAAGTAACAATTTGTATGATATTTAGAAATTATTTAAAGTATTATCCATTGATTAGGACATTAAAACATTCCCAGACATGAGCTTCCCAATTCAAATGAACCCTAATGAAATAGGGTTAGGTTACTTGAGGTTTTTCATTAAAAATACAAATATTTGTTCTAGTTGTTAAAAGGTCATTTTGAAAGGCCACAGATAGCCTATGAAATGCAATTTTTTATTTTAAATTGCAGAAACCTTTCGTCAAAGATAGATAATCCCTAATTGACGTAAATGGCATTTAAAGGAGCTTTTGCCTACACGAGAAATAGGCCTGTTTTTTTTCCAGGTGTTTTGCAGTTATTTAGGCTATGTGACGATATTTCTTAAGGCATAAACAGCCAAGGTTATATTTAGAGGCGTCTGCTATGTTGGACTGCATGCCAGTTTATTCATTAAATTTAGCGTTACACTAAAAAAAATAAACTGGTTTCGTATGGGACTTTATTTTATTTCATTTCTATTTGTCATATTTTGCCGTAGACTTAATTAAAGTCAATATTTACGTAGGCATATACTGCCACCGTAGTAAGCTGGTATAAAAATAGTTATAACTTCCGTTGTCTCCTATCAGGGGATGTAGCTCAGTGGTAGAGCGCATGCTTTGCATGTATGAGGCCCCGGGTTCAATCCCCGGCATCTCCACTCCTTTTGTTGTTTGTATTTTTATCAAGCGGCAACCTCCGGTGTTGTAAATTTTCTTTTCAGTCAAGATTTCAACATCAAATTTAACAATTATCAGTATTCATGGATAATGCGTTGCAGACACAAAGTCATTTTTAAAAGTTAAAAAATAAGGACACGCTAAGGCATAAACCGTTTGTCACCATTGCCACTATCACGACCCCACGTGATGAAATTCAAATGGGGTCGCCTTAAATTTTTTATCTAGCCTATTCATCTATACAACTTAGGCTATATTGAACACAGGCAACTGTTGGCCATAGCTTATGCCAAAACAAAACACTTGAAGAAACTCTGTCTGTCTATATTCCATTGTGCAGAAATTATATCCCAGCCTCTCTGCCTCTGTCTACCATAGGCTACACGAAAAAGCCTAAATGTGGAAAATTAACGTTTGCTTGTAAAACAGTGGAACAACTATTACATGATTGAAAACAAATTAATTGTTATCAAAAAGTTGAAGGCTATGTGTTTTGGATGTCTGTGATAGGCTAATGATAAATAAGTATGAATATCTGCCAATTGGACAAACAAAATACTTATTGCGTGTCTTGAAATTAGATATCTTACAGTGCACCTTCGTAAAGTAAATTTTCTTGCCCCTTTTTCCTATTTCATTTGCCTGAATTTGTATTACTTTGTAATTGTAATTGGGCCTTCTTTTCAGTTTAAAATATAAGAATAATGCAAGTATATCTTATATGGTACTCATGTAAAAGTATAGCTACTTTGATTAAAGGACTAATCTGTAAGATATCTATTAATTTAAATGATAAAATCACCTTACTATCTCATCATCATAATATATCATCATCTATGTTGAAGTGCTGGCTTCTCTGACAACAATGCAGCAGCCAGTATGTCCTTCTTCTAAGTTTAGATTCTGGTCCTGAATGGTCTGGATTTGTTTTGACCAGAGAAGGCGGTTTTAAGGCACCCCCACACAGCCGTTTTGGACACATCTTGGTTTACCTGGCAAACAGCAAACCAACAGATGTTGCAGAGATGGAAGTGGGCAAGAGAACTGGTTCGCTATAACTGATTCTACCCGACCTAAAAAGCAGCAGCATTTTTCTAATAAGCTCCACGAGCAGAAACATGCTCAAACAAGGATAAATATTGGAGATGCTTTTGAAAAATGGTAGAACGCAGAAAGGTTTACAGACCAATGCAGAGCTCATAGACAATGAAATCTTAACAACTTGTCTCTGCTTAAGAAAGCCTCTTCTACCCACCCTTCATTTACTTTTGGCTTCTGGAACTGTCAGTCTGCTGTGAATAAAACTGAATTTATCAAGCACTTGCAAAAATGTGCACTTGCCCTTACTGAAACCTGGATCCGCCCAGAAAATACAGTCACACCAGCTGCTCTTTTTGTTGACACAGTGTTCTCACACACACCCCGCTCTGTTGGACGTGGAGGTGGTACAGGTATCCTCATTTCTAATACCTGGAAATTCAATAAACTCTTCCCACTGAGCAACAACTCCTCATTTGAATATCACACAATCTTGGTTACTGCTCCTATTAAAATGTACATTGCTATCATTTATCGCCCACCAGGGTGTAATCTGAATGATTTTGTTGTGGAACTGGACATGCTACTCTCAGAAATCCCTGATGATGGAACACCACTGATTGTAATGGGAGGCATGAATATACACACTGATAAAGCCCAGGCAACAGACTTCCTTGCTCTCCTATCCTCATTTGACCTCACGCAGGTCCCAACTCCTCCCACCTACAAAGCTGGCAACACTCTTGATTTAATCCTGACTCGGAACTGCTCGACCACAAACCTGACTGTCACCCCTCTACATCTATCAGACCACTTCTTTATTCAATTCACAATCTCCTTGCTGGAACTCCCTCGACTCATGCCTCACTCGACTCATTCTTCTCACTGACTGAGGATGAAGTCTCTAAGCTTGTGCTAGACTCTCGGCCCACCACCTGTCCTCTGGACCCAATACCATCAAGCCTCCTGCAAACCATTTCCTCTCTGCTTAATGCTGCACTTAAGCATATCATCAACTCCTCTCTGTCAACGGGTGTGTTCCCCACCACATTCAAGCAAGCTCGGGTCACCCCTCTGCTCAAAAAACCCACACTAAACCCAGCCCAGGTTGAAAACTACAGACCGGTTTCTCTTCTGCCCTTTCTGTCAAAAATACTTGAGCGCACAGTCTTTAAGCAAGTCTCTGAGTTCCTGTCCAGAAACGATCTGTTTGACCCAAATCAGTCAGGCTTTAAGTGGGGCCATTCTACTGAAACTGCATTACTGTCAGTAACAGAATTGCTACGAGCTGCCAGAGCTGCGGGTCAGTCCTCAGTTCTATTACTGCTAGACCTGTCTGCTGCCTTTGACACAGTCAACCATCAAATCCTCCTATCCACGCTCTCTGGACTTGGCATCTCAGGATCTGCCCTCTGCTGGTTCATGTCCTACCTCTCTGGGCTTTAGAGTGCCGTGGAAGGGAGAAGTGTCCAAAGCGCACAACTTATCCACAGGGTTACCTCAAGGGTCAGTGCTTGGTCCCCTTCTCTTCTCCATATACACAAGCTCACTTGGTTCAATAATCCGCTCTCATGGCTTCTCATACCACTGCTATGCTGACGATACCCAGCTCTTCCTGTCATTCCCACCAGACGATGTTACAGTCTCTGCAAGAATCTCATCAAGTATCTCTAAATGGATGAATGAACGGCACCTTCAACTCAACCTTTCAAAGACTGAGCTCCTTGTCATCCCAGCCAGTCCCTCTATGCAACCACAGATCAATATCCAGCTTGGAACAACCAAACTCATGCCCACAAAGTCTGCCCGGAACCTGGGTGTCATGATTGATGACCAGCTAACTTTTAGGGTTCAAGTAGCCTCGATTGCCCGGTCATGTCGATTTGCCCTGCACAACATCAGGAAGATACTCCCCTTACCTGTCAGAACATGCTACACAGCTCCTGGTACAAGCTCTTGTGATATCATGTATCGATTATTGCAACTCTCTACTGGCAGGTCTTCCTACATGCACTATCAAACCTCTGCAAATGATACAAAATGCAGCAGCACGACTGGTCTTCAACCTTCCTAAAAGAGCACATGTCACTCCGCTGTTTATCTCCTTACACTGGCTCCCAGTTACTGCTCGCATCAAATTTAAAACTCTCCTGCTCGCTTACAAAACAGCGACTAAAATGGCTCCTCCTTACTTTAACTCTCTCATCCAGGTCTACACTCTCTCCCGCCCACTACGCTCTGCCAATGAAAGGCGTCTGATCCAACCTTCACAACAGGGTCCTAAGACGCTGACTAGACTCTTCTCCTCTGTGTAATGAACTTCCAAACTCCATTCGATCTGCAGAGTCCCTCTGCACCTTTAAGAAAAAGCTAAAGACCCAGCTCTTTCATGAATACCTACTAACTTAATGATGATGGTCTCGATATTATTGATGATGATGATGGTTGTGACGATTGTTTTTGCTTGATAACTGCCGTCAATGTTGTGCTTTGCCTCTGTGCAATGCCTGTCAGCACCTGTGTGTCCAATCAGACTCAAAGCTGATCGTTTGCTCTTACTGACACTGTTCCCTTTTTTCTAGATCCTTGCTTGTGTTGTACTTACTCTCTGATGCACGTCGCTTTGGATAAAAGCGCCTGCTAAGTGAATTGTAGAATTGTAGAAAATTAAATGATTTTAATTGTAAATAGAAATTCTGAAAATAAATAATACATATAGAATTATTACTTTTGGGGGCAGTAGTAGTCTGTAGGGACTTGGGTTGGGAACCGGAGGGCCGACGGTTAAAGTCCCATTGCAGATCAAAGTATGGAAGCTGGTGTGGCTGCTGGGGAGTTGCCGTGTCACTTCCTGAGTACTGCCGAGGTGCCCATGAACAAGGCACAGAACCTCCGATAGCTCTGGCGTGCTTCGTGTGTAGCAGTGTAGAAGCCCCACTCCGACATCTCTCCATTAATGAAACCTTGGGGATTAATAAAGTATGTAAAAGTAAAAAATGTGATGAATGCCGAAAGGGTATTAACTAAAGGTCTTTTGAATTGAGTTATTTTCAAATGAGCATTCATTAAATCAAAAAATGACACAGCAGCTCCATGCACATCCTCACTGTCCTCTCACTCTGACGTCCACATTATTAATCTCAGTTTAACACTGCTCTCTTTGTGTACATCTCCGCTCCTCCAGCTGAAGCTCCTCTGGCGGTTTACCACCATCTGATCACCCGTCACCACAGGTCAGCTCCGTCACACCAGCATCAGCGCTGTTCATTGTCAACAAAATGTTTTTTTACAAGTGTTTAAGCCTGCTGGCCTCGGGCTAGTGGTTCAACCAGTACTCCATCATCAGATATTGACCGACTAGGAGACATTTTCAGCTGAAAAGGATTCACATGAATTAATAATGTGTTCACCACACCAGATTTTTCAACTCAAATATGATTACAGTAAAAGAAGTCCTACGGCACCTGATATAGGGTTTTAAATGACCATCCTACTGTCTAAAGTACACTAAAATACTGACAATATTTTCTGTATAGAAATGTTGCCAGGGCATGTCCAATTTAGACAGATCTCTTTCTTTCCCATTTAGTACTTTTTAATTCTGTCCATCATTAAAATAATGGTTGTATCTTTTAAAACACATGGTGTCAAAAAGTATCTAACATTTTGATAACCTTGCTATATTGTCCTTTAAAAGTGTGTAAGGACAGATCCCATGGGTGCATGACATTAGACACAGACACCCAGAGAAGCCAATAGACACACCATGAGATCCCAAAAGAGTGTTTTTGTTGCCATGGACAACAGCAAAACGAGCCACCAAAGACAGAGACACACACAGCTCCATTCATGTATTTACAAGGTCCCCACCCCAGCATCCATCACCCTTTACCCCCAACTGATCTTTGACCTGACCCAGCAGCTGGATGCGTGAGGAAGTAGCCTGTTGTCACGGTGACAGAGGAAACATTTAATCCCCATTCATACCAGAAAATCTTTTTTATGAATTATTTTAACTTAAGGGGGAAAAAAAGGATTAAAAGGTGTATCAATTAACCTAAAGAAAACGTCTTTGGTTTGTCAAATGAAGCACATTAAATAACCATGGCAGAAGAAATAATTGACCAAATAGCTCAGAATAAAGAAGCCATATTAACTGTCAAATAAAGAAGGAGATCGCTAAGGTACTAAAACTGATTAGTTGTGTCACTGGTGTTTTGGTGGCGCCCCATAGTACATAGAGGTTATAGTCCTCTAAGTGGGCGCCCTGGGTTTGGGCCCCCCGCTCCTTTCCTTCATGTCATTCCAATAGACTGGACACAAAGCGAAATATAAGTTGCTGTGACATCACCTATCGGCTACCAAAGGGGACTTTTGAAGACCGATAATGGCCGTGTTGGAAGTGCTGTTTCAACCTAACTTTCTGTCAACCAGGCTAAGGGCTGAAGCTGAGGCGGGTGTTATGTAGGGTGGCCATATTTTCAAACCTCAAATTATTGACACAAACCTACATGTATGAGCTCATGGTACAATTGGATTTTTCATTAGTGCACCTTCCAACAAGAAACAAAGAAAGGTTCTCAGCAGATGATAAATCACGTCACTCCAAGATCAACTCAAACTTTATTTAAAAAATGTAATTATATAACACTAGTAGACCCAAAATGATGATTGCATTGGTGTAACAGAACATATTCATTTATTCATTAACATATCAGTGACCTGCACTGGTCACACAAAGGTGGTAGGTAAAGGTTTCCTAGCCGTTCAAGTTGGTTGTCAGTGGCGTTTCCTTCATTGAAGTAGGTTAAGTAAAGCAGAGCTACTTTCAGCCTGTACCAACCGTTTGAGGGTGTTTGCTTGTTTTAATATGGCTTTGTTTGTCGGCATTTCCACCGCGTTGCCACTTGCAGTGTGTGCAGAACACGGCATATTCTTTGGCTGGTTACAGAAGACGCTGTAACTCTCCTGGAGCTCTCTTTCCTTTTCAGCATGACAGCTCGCCTACCTTTCGTTACGCAGCATGTCTTGTTAGTATGATAAGCTAGGCTAGCTAAGCAACAGAAGCAACCCTCTGATTGATTGACACATGCACAGACAAATCAGAAGTTAAATTTGACTTGTTTTGCATTAGTGATGTTTCTCTATTAAAACAGAAACGACCTTGATTGACATACAAACCAATCAGTTTTACAGGCATGGTGTATTGTTCTGGATGGTTAAAACTATGACGGGGACTGTTCGAAACCAGGACATATAAGTGTTTTATACATTTGTTGGGAGCTTAAGAATGAGATTGTCACAGTCAAACATCACCTGTATTAAAATGCCGTTATAAACAGCAGAAATAAACATGTTTACCATTTCATTTAAAAAAAATGTCTCAAGCGCTCATATCTATTTTAGTACAAACTCAATCTGGGACCCCAATTACCGTCTGAAACTAATAAAAAGACAGAGCTCAAGGTTTTTAAGACAGTGGCTAAAACTGAAGCAAATCTGTGAGCATTGTCTTTGAGCATCCTTTTATTGAACCTTATTTTACTGCTAGTCTTTATTTAAGTCTCTTATTTGAATTGCATTATAATGTCGGTATTCATAGTATCACCATTTCTGTATTTCTTTTAGTTCAAGCCTTCTGTTTTAAAAAATGTAAAAAGGTCACAGAGTAAAAATGACTGAACAGATGTCCTTTACAACAGCACAAATAATGTCAATGTCTGAATGAATAGACTTTGGACTGAGCGAGCGGCTCTTACTTTGCCCCAATAATTTTAGGTTAAAGCCCACTTTGTAAATGACAAAAAGCTTGAAACAGCTTACAATGCACGTACACACAAACTGCCTTAGAAGAAATATATTTTCAGACAATAAATAAGGATCTTTTTCTTTCATTTACGATATTGCATCTTGCTTAAATTTCACTTTCTGCAGTGTGAGGAGCATCAGTCAGTCACTCGATCTGCCCGTCCTGCTGCAGAAACACATTGGAGGAATCAGGTTTCCTGCAAAAACATCACATCAGCCCAAGATGTGTTTTAACAATCAGCCGTGGTCCGTCAGCAGACGACGAGCAGATTAGATGGAACTAAATGATCCCAGTGGGATGCTTCAGACGCTAATAGAAACACAACTCAAGGAAGAAGCAAAGATTATTAGTATTGACATGAATCAGCCTGCAACAGCATGGAAAATATGAAGTACTGCAGCAAATGCTCCAGTCAGTCTTTACAACAGATAATCCTAATCTATTCTCTCTGCTTTTAACTCTGAACTCATTAGGATAGCATGAGTATTTACTAGAAGGACATCGGTTTGAGAAGCAGGTCAAAATGTTGGCTATGTCCATCCAAAGGCTTAAACACAAAGGAAGCAGGAAGAGGGAAAAAAAGAAACACAGACAGAAAGAGAGGGATGGATGCAAATCTGTTCTTCTTCATTTTTAGTTTTTTAATCTGCGCGTTAAGAGGATTGTGGGTAAAATGTTAATGCCACCATGAGAGAAGATGCCCATGAACGTGCAGATGTTGCACACATGCAAACACATGCAAAATCCAAAGCTGTCCCTGTTGTGTGACACTCACTAATCCTCAAACCGGGTTAAACACCAGATTCCAGGCTAACAGAGTGCTACGCTGGGACTAATTGTTTTGACATTCTGATATAATCTGAAATAGAATGTTTTTTTAGTCTTAATAAGTATTTGTGGAGCGGACAGATGGAAGAAGTGATGAAAGAGTGAATCAAAAATCTTCTTAAGTGAGAAAAAGGGGCTTTTTTTCTGCACCATGCATGTCAGTGGGTGGGGTGGAGGTTGAGTGGGTGGGGGTTACGAGCCGGGCTTTGACTATAGAAGAAGAAGAAGAAGAGAAAGGACCCATCTGTTCATGTGGAGGCACATAAAGCAAGAGGGAGAGAGAGAGGACGGACGCAGAGGAGGCGCACAGAGAAGGTAAGCATGAGAACATCTCGCTGTGTGGTTTGACTCATGTTGAATGCAGGTTAAACCGAATGTGGAGCTGCATGTGTGAAGGTTTTCTGATGCATGCTTGTATTGACGTGAGAGGTGTTGGAGGTCAGAGAGAGATTGAGACAATTTTGCACGAGTCAAAGGCAAAATAACAGAATAATTGTTCAGATGCAGACAGTAATAATGACTGAGCTTCAGTGCAGCTCTTTAGTCCTATGAGAAAATGAAAGTGGGGTATTTAAGAAAACTGAGGTCATAAATACTGCTCGCCTAACCCAGAAGTCCTTTACTAGACGCCAAAATAAAACAGAACCGTCTGTAGAAAATATAACAACTTTATTGTTCAATTTTTATGACCTGTAAACTTTATTGTCTGACATAACTGACTTATTCAGTTCTAGCCAACATTGCCAGTGTGGTGGGAAAAAAGTGTTTTTTTTGTTTCATCGTAACTTGTAAAGATTTTAACATGCTGAGAAAACTTAATCCAGGAATCAATTCATAAAAAAATTAGGGACTTCTGAGCCCCCGGGCGACAGCCATAAATGGTGGGACACACATTTTTCTCACACATTTATTTACACTCTGGTTGACTTTATTCTCATCATTAGTAAAAGTTCAGTTCATTGAGATTTGCATGCTTCTGACCAGTTTCAACACATCTAACTGACAGTTTTCAAAAGCCAAGTTTGGTTTCTTTTCATCATTAGCTACTCCGAAAAAAAAATCTAAATTTGGGAAAGTTGAGATGTTGAAAAATGACTTTAAAAATACCTAAAAGTGGCAATGTTCAAAACATGTAGTGATTTGATCCTTAACTTCTGTTTTTATTTTTGAAATGGATCATAAGTCTGTTCTGAGAAAAGATTGTGATCTGAGTTTTAAAGCAGCAATATGTTAATCTGACACCTAGTGTTTAAAGCAGGTACTGTAGTCCAAATTCAAAACATGTCTCTGTCTCCCCCTGCCCCCCTGCTCTCTCGTCTACACTCAAGCAGGTTGTCATGTCAGGGACACTGAAGCTTCAGTGTTTATCCAGCTCTGCATCGGTCTGTAAACCTTTCTGTGTTCTAACCTCTCTCCATTTTTCAAAAGCATCTCCAATATTGATCCTAGTTTGAGCACGTTTCTGCTCGTGGAGCTTATTAGAAACATGCAGAGGCTCTTTAGGTCTGGTACAATCACTTCTATCTGAACCAGCTCGCTTACCTGCTTCCATCACTGCCACACCTGTTGGTTTGCCCTGTTTTTTCTCTTATTTAACAAATACATTCATCTCAATCAAAAATTTTAATTAATTGCAAATATATGTATTTTTTATTTGTACTTAAATATACCTCAATAGAAAAATAAAATTCCTTACTGTTATATGAATCTTTATCAAATGAAAAAAAGAATCACATATTTGTTTATCATTAAAAAAAATAAAAAAAATAATTTATTGTGTTACATATGTGATGTTATTGCATATTTTAAAGTATGCACAGCTAAAAGTGTAGTTACATCACTATGTCCCCCAAATCTACTTTTACATATTGTATATACTGTTTTTTTAGGCAGCTTATTTGTCCAAAATCCGTTTTAATCTTCCCTATTGACAAGGGCGGTATAATCAACACTTTTCGAATTATTAAGGACCAACTTTTCTTTCTGTTTTTTTATCAGAAAAGGAAAATTTTATAACTTATATAATAAATGTTCATAATGGCGCCTTTGGCTTTCCATACAAAAATTATGTTAGGCAAGCAGGTTTTTGGACCCATGTGTTCCCCGAAACTTGCCCCCTAAATGGACTTTATCACCTCGTATAAAAAGCCACTGAAGGGTGCGTTCCATTAACCCTTGAAGTCGGATGTTGGAGCTTGGAAGGACATCACACCTGAGTTGACCACATTCTAGTTACGAGTTAGTAACAAGTCGTAAAAACAGCAACAATGTCTTCCAAGTTTCTGAGTTGAAGTTTCAACTTCAGGGGGGAGTTTAGGATGACGTATCCGACTGCCAACTCTGAATTTCTGACTTCCGAGATCAAATGGAAAGCACCATAATTTTTCTCGGGCAATACTTACTATGACAACTACAGGTCGCTGCTTAAACATAAAGTAAATTAAGGGCTTAATTAAGGTCTTGCTCAGATTTATTTATTTGATCAGATTTTAGCTTTCCTGAATGTAAAATTCAAAGCAATCCTTTCTTTGTGTGGTTTTTTGTGTGTAAATAATCCACTGTTTGGAAACTGTCAGCCTTTACTAAAAAAAAAAAATACAATCTTTAACCAGAGAAAAAACGGTGTAAACTAGTTTGAATAATAAAATGACCTTAAAGGGAGAATGTTTGCAGGTTTTTAACAGCCCGCCTTCTTGCTCTCTTTGCTGCTTTAATCTCATTACTCTAACACTCCTCCTCCCTCCATCCCTCACTCTCATCCCGTCGTCCCTCCTCCATACTTTAACCGAAATGGGATACCCTCTAACTTAATTAAAAGAAGCATCTCCTGAGTGACACGAACACGCACTCATCCCGTCCAGCCGTCAGAGTTTCCCTCCTCTCTGTTCTTTATGGTAATGTCCCTCCATCCTCTGATTGAATCTGCTTTATTGTGTCCCAGAGGGAATACAGTTTGGATGTTTCCCGTCATCTTCCTCCACTGACTACTCATTCATGCTTTGTGACATTGGGTGTCGTGGTGTTCGCCCTGATTCTTCAGTGACAGATTACAGTCCTCGGTCTGGGAATAATTTAGGGACACAAAGCCCAAAGACGTTTAAGGCATTCATTTAATTTACTTGTGCTTTATTTCTGGGTTTTTGGAAATGAATGTTGTACTGACAGAGAATGAAAACTAAAATCTAAAGACGACATTGAATGTAAACGTGAGACCAGCACCTCGATGTTTGTTTAGTTTGGTTCAGTTTTTTTCCGATAACAAATATTTCTGCAGCTCCCCGTTTACTGATTGGTGCTTTAAAGTTGACCTATTATGCTAATCCTCATTTTAAAAGTGTCATATGGTGTTTTAATGCTGGATGTTCATTCTAAACGTTGGCAAAGTTTCAGCTCAAGAGAATGACCTGGAGTATGCTGGAGTAATCCTAGGATGAGTCAGAAGAGGGCGCCAAACGTCTGCAAATCACTTGATAGTTCAATGATATGAAACCAAGGATTTCACAAGACGGCCTAAAACCCCTAGTAAGCTGCTGGAACCTCTAAGGCTCTCTTCTCTTAGCACTGTAGAGCAGTCCTCCCCTGGCAGCCCTACAGCGTTCTGCCCCTCTGGAAGGCTTCCAGAGAGCTGGCCAATCAGAAGAAAGAGGCAGAGGCCGATATAATGCCAGTGTGAGATAAATAGGGAGTCTTTGTTGCTGCAGATCATGTAAGGCTCCTCTATAGGTTTCACAGACTCACAACATGAAGGGTGAAAATGAAGATAGTATGGAATCTATAAATTGAGTTTCTGCTAATTATAAAAACGTTCTAACAATTAAGGGGGTGAAATAATTTGTTTCTACGTTGCATCATGATGGTGATGTGGACGAGTCTGCATCGATGCGGTGACAGAACATAATCGATCGTTATGTACGGACGTTGCTTGTAGATTTTCCAGCCACAGCTTGACCTCATTTATTTTGGTTTTCTAAAGAACTTTAGAACTTTAAAAACAAAAGGAGTTAAGTACAGTATATCTAACTGCTTGTCTTCATTGATAAAGATGTGTCCATGGGCAGTATAGAAAAAAATTGAGGATGCAAACCAGCGTGATGCATTGTGATATCAAATCAAATTCTTGACAGGATTACCATAAACTAATGGAATAGTGAGATCAGTGAAGATGCATAGCCATACACACAATATTATTTTCTGGTCACAACAGGAAGCTGTTTTCAGTGGAAACAACAGTATTTGTAGCTGAATGTTCATTTAACTTTCTTTATTTGCTTTGCAGGAACAGAAAACCCCTTCAGACCCCGACAGAAGATTTCTCTGAGGGAATACTATCTGTACGATATGCAGCCAAGATGAGGATGTGGACTGTTTTTCTGTGTCTGAGTTATGGATGGATGAAAACAGCGTCCACAGCCGGAGTGACCCTCGAACCCTCCTCTGCACCCGTGACTCCCACTGAGGATGGAAGCACCCAACTGGTGGTAAATGAAAAAAAAATAAGCACGTAAAATAATCCACTATGTAAACTATAGATGGATGGGTGGATGGATTATGCCACTATAATTGTGTTTTAATGAGGTGTGACATTGTAGGTAAAGGCGGCTTGAAACACATTTGCAGGTTTATTTTCTAATGAAGGAAGGCTGACATCTTGAGGTCAGGTATAAGAACAAAATAAAAGGGGAAAGAGTTGTGTTATTTTAAATGCTAACATAAAGTAAAAATGTTAAGAAGTAAAATTCACTTCCTCAAAGTCTCCTTTACTCAGTTTGACTGTCAAGTACGACAGATGGTATTCAGAGGAGGAGATTAGTTTTTAAGTTTAGCATTTTAAAATGACCATGTTATTTATGTGTTTAAAAGAAGTTCCCGGCCCAATTGAGCAGCCATCAACCATGAAATAATGACTTATTTCTTATTAATAAGGAAATCAAACCTTAATTTGACATTTCATGCTTTGTAGTTGTCTGTCCTTTCAAAAAATGTAAAGTGACTTTGGAGCAGCCTTAGCCATCAGGGGTCAACTAGTTTTTGTTCACTTCAGTTTTTTTTTTTTTTACCACAAGAAACCCTGACCAATCAGAGAGCATTTCCTCATGCATCACACATTTTGCTCCGCTAGTAAATGTCCCCGTGTGAACAAAGACCAACCTTGAGGTAATTATGCAACACCGGAACAAACTGGTCCATGATTCAGACCAGAGCAACCGATCTATAGGAGTGAAAGCATATAGTCTACAGAAATTGGGCCTTCTTCTGCTGATTTAATGGGTTTATGGTGACATTACCATTATGATTGTTTTAAAAAAAAATCATAGACCTTAAAGCAGATGTTGGTCACTCACTACGAATATTAAAAGTTGATGTTGGTCGCCCTTTTCAAAAAGATTATTTTTTCTCTCTCTGGTCACAGGATTGGTTGATGAAGTATGGCTACCTGCCACCCTCCGACCCGTCCACTGGTCAGCTGCAGGCGTGGACAGCTGTCACAAACGCTGTCAGGGCCATGCAGAGGTTTGCAGGCCTCAAAGACACTGGAGTTGTCGGTGAGGATGACAGACTGCTGCTGTGAACAGTCATATGATCGACGTCTGACATTAAGGTTCTGTTGTCTTAAAACTGGAAACTAACACAGGATCTTGATGTGTTCAGACGACGACACTGTGGCGTTGATGAAGAGTCCTCGGTGCTCCCTTCCTGATGAGGACGAGCCGTCTAATTCAGCCGTCAACCAAGAGAGACGGAACATGAAGAGGAGGAGGAGAAGAGCTGTCTCCATGTGGAACCGCAGGAACATTAACTGGAGGTGAGACAGATCAGTTCACAAGCTGGTCAACAGGACCAAACATGAACTTTTTCTATTTTAAAGGAACTTCAGGGACAATTTGCAAAGAATGGATTGTGGAGCTGATAACTACGAAAGCCAATAAGCAAGGGTACACTGTACGATTGTTATAAAAGTCATTCAGGTCAGCTCACAGTGTACGACGGAATCGTTAATGACTCATGATCAAAGCTCAAATTGTACGAACTCACACTGTATGACCCCAATGTGCGCAACCTGAAAGCTCACACTGTACGTGTTAAATCAGGACGGAGCATTCACAATAGACAATAAAGTTTCTATGTATGGAGGCTATGTTCCTACAAGCTGGTGGCCTGGGTTCGAGTCCTGTGGCTCATATCATTCCCCACTATCTCACTCCGCAGTTTCTGACTCTATCCTCCATCCTATCTCTTAACAAAGGCCCCAAAATAAACCTTTCATTAAAAAAAAGTTTCTTTAAAAACTCCAACAAACTCCCTGTGGTCGGTGAATCAGCTCGTGGCTCTGCTCTCACTGTGTAAGTGTGGGCAGTGCTTGAGTGTACACTGCACCACCAAGGACGGGGGATCAGACTGAAATTCAGCCCGCCTTCCAAGTTAGTCGTGCGACTCTAAAAACAGGTCTAAATGGGGCTGAAAGTGCAGACGCCTGGCCAAAGTGTATGTGCATCCATACCTTTTATTTTACTCCATTTTCCCCCCTTCGATAATGATTACAATTTGATTGGTTTTCAAGATCTGGTCTTTATATATCTTAAATCTCAGGATAACAACACTGATTTAACTGTGATAGCGAGGGGAAAAAAAGCGTTGTTTTCTTGAGATAACAACCGGAAATGACTCGTTATCGGCAAAGCTGGGTACACCTCTGGTAATCAATTATTATCAGTGTTAATGTTATGTATTATTCGTTAAGATAGACGTTAATTAGAAGATCAAATATTGAAACTGACAACTTCTGTTAAATTTGGTTTATGTTAATGTCATTTTTCTTACTCGTATTAACTTCAGCTCACACAAAAGGAAAGTATATTTTTATTTGAATATTTATTATTGTGCAAATCACAGCAGCACCCTGGCATCCTTTTTCTTCTTGGTCCCGTGTTTGGTGCATTGGATTGTGGTGATTTGAATCCCTTACACGTGGTCTGAGAATGACATGTTTTGTTTCTTTTGTTTTTATAAAAGCTAAGCAATCCTTTAAATCACTGAATCTCTGTTCTAACCATGAACATGAATTTGTTTCAGTCATCGGTGATCATTCTTTCTGTCCGTCTCTGTTTTGTTCTTAGGTTGCGTTCGTACCCGTCTTCCTCTCATCTGTCCCGAGAAACGATTCGCTCTCTGGTCTTTTATGCTTTAAGAGTCTGGGCCGAGCCAACGCCGCTGGAGTTCCATGAGGTTGGTACATTTATGTGACACTAAACTAATGTTGCATGTTAAAGATGGCAGATATGAGGTTTAAACCATATCAGGGCAGAACCACTACCTCTGTTAGCTGCACACTTATTGTCTTCAGGTGGGCAGTCCAGAGGCAGCAGACCTACAGGTAGACTTCCTCAACGGTTACCATGGTGATGGTTATCCTTTCGATGGAGTAGGCGGTGCAGTCGGCCATGCTTTCTTCCCATCAGACCCCGCCCGGGCAGGAGGAGTTCATCTGGATGCAGAGGAGGAGTGGGCCTTCAGACAGCCAGGTGGTTAGAGACATTGACTGTCTGTGCTAACATTAGCCTGCTAACACATCACTGTACATTGCAGGCAATTGCAGCTCGAGCTAAGGACAATTTTGTCCCGCTATTGTTTTTGACTCCTTTGTGCGAACGTGAGTGGAGAGGGGTTAGACGTTTGTCGCTGGAGAGGAGGAAACAGGAGGCTTCATCATGGCGGAGGTGTGGCAAAACAGCAGTTTGTTTTGGTTTCATGCTGATGCTCAAGCGCCACATCTCCTGGATCTCCATTTAATTAAATTCAACTTAAATGTATTTGATTGAATGTATTCTACCTTTCATACCAACCTGCAGCCTTAAGTGTTTATTGTATGAACAAACAGAAAATAAACACAACTGACAAAATGGAATAACATTTTAAAACACTTAAAAACAATGAAAACTGTAAAAGCGATAACATGTTAAAATGTAAATCCAAAAAATGGCAGGTGTCAAAAACAAGGAGTGGGACCCGAGTGCAGATGATGAAAACACATTTTTGTTTTCACAAAAAAAAGGCAATAACCAAAAGCAGACTTTTACCTGTTCAAACACAGTCCAACAAAAGTTGAACTTAAAATCCAAAGGTATAACACAAAAGGAGCCACGAGGAAACACTGTGAGATAGACGTTTGACCTGACACAAAAGGGAACAAACACAGAGACTCATGTACTCCTTGGATGGTCCTTGTTTCCGAGTTGGGAAGTCGTTCTTCCGTCTTCGGTATGTTCACATGATTTCAGTGTGTAAAGTCCTGATTTTGTAACAACAAAACGTTTTGCTACAAAGAGGATGTGTGGAGTGTCACTGTTACAATCTATATTTTAGCCAAACGTTGATGTGCAATACTTGATTTAATAAAAAATATCTTAACATGTTAAGATACAACTAAAACATATTTTTCCCCCATATGATAACGAACATGACGTCAAGTCGGCAACTTGGGATCTAATTTTTTCCAGAGATTTTGAGTTGTTGTTCCGACTTGTGCAGGCGTTCATGAGCATTTTACAACTTGGAAACTCGTTTTTCCGTTGGGTCCGACACCACATGAACGCAGGGTCAGTAAAGGGGGGAATTAAACACAGGTGTGACAGTGACAGACAAGACACAGGGGAAACTAATGGGGGGAAGGAAGTAAAGTGGTCATGATGCACAGGGGGCAAAGACTACAAAATAAAACAGGAAACACTAAACTTCAAAATATTACGATAAACTAAAAACCGAATCAAAAAGTAAAAGCTGAAATTTAAAGACTGCCTTATTGATATCCAGAGACGGGGAGTTATCAGGTGGAAAAAAAGCCATAAATATGGAAAAATATAATTAATGCTTCATTAAGATAAGATTGACTACTTGGTTTTTAAAATCTCTTCTTGTGTCTCTCCTCCAGCCACCGAGGGCACCGACCTGTTCACGGTGTTGGTCCACGAGTTCGGACACGCACTCGGACTCGCCCACTCATCGTCCCGACACTCGGTGATGAGGCCGTACTACCAGGGTCCTGCTGGAGACCCTCTTCACTTCCGCCTGGGAGCCCAAGACCTGGAGCTCATCACCCAGCTCTACGGTGAGGTTTCAATTTTAAACAAATAGATCTGTGTCATGTTTGTGTTTGGGGGGATTATTCTTTCAGTGACTGTAAATGTTTCATGTTGGGACAGCCTGACGTTTCAGTCTACTCAGAAGTAGATCACTTGATCCTGGAAAAAGAAAATAGATCACTTGATGCTGGATAGCTCAGTGATGGGATAATTTTGATGAGAAATAATGTCCTTCATATTTGTAAGAACCAAACTGTAGCAGCACAGCACCATGACAGACGCAGAGACAGACAGAAGAGACTTTATACGTTTCTTTGAGAGTCTTTAGCTGTTTCACTGACTACGTTCACACTGATTTGATTCTATTGATGAAATCTATTTTATCTTATTTTAGGTAAAAGAAACCAGCTGCTGGCCACCGACGCTCCTCGTCTCGTTCCAGAGCTTCAGCTGCGTCACAGAGGAAACAACGACCATCATCATCATCAGAGACACAGGTGCGACCAAGAGGAAAGAAAATGTCATCTTCAGTTCTTTATAAATCTCTCTCAAAACATGTAGAACTTTGTTTTTTCTCTCAATCCTTTAAATACATGATTAACATGTTAATACGTGACTCTTTACGCCTCCACAACATACATGACATTTTTAATAATTATTTACTAAGATAGAAAGTCCATGTTGGTATTATTCTACTTATATTTCGTGTCCTTACATTTGAGTTATCAGAAGATTGTTTGATATGAGTTTCTTAAAGGTAAGAAAAACAAAGTATGTTCTGATGCCTTTTTTCAGTTTAACCTTCATTGTTTACTTTTCTGTGATCATGAAACAAATTTGAAGTCCCTTCTTTGCGTTCAGGGTTTAAGGACACACTTAAAGGTCATCTGGAAGAAAATAGCAAAGCTTTGTTTTGAGTCTTATTCTGAACCTACTGTAGTAGTGCACGTCTCCCTCTAGTGGCCAAAATGAGTACTACTACAACAATCAATTAAAAGAAATAGCCTGATTCTTTATTTTAAACCTTTTTTTAAAAGAGTTAAAAAAATAACTCAAATGTAATAAACCTGAAAAATGTTCCATGATGAAAATAAAATAATAAATCGCCTTCTGCAGACTTACCTTGGGATTACTCCAACATACGTTTACCTCATGATCTGAAACGTTGCCCACGTTAAGTCTGGCCTTCCAGCATTGTAAACACTTTGTGAGTTTAAAAACGGGGATCAACAGAATAGGTCAGCTTTCACTTACAGTTTCAAAGTTAAGTGTTGATTTCATCCTAACATGAAGTGTGTTTTCTGTCTGCAGCTCAGTCATCGATCGCTGCAACACCAGTTTTGATTCGGTGGCGAGGATCAGAGGAGAGACCTTTTTCTTCAAAGGTCTAAAAATACAAGAAAAAAACGGATTGCTCTCGAGTCAAATTACAAAACAGACCTAAATGCCTACACAGTGTTTGTGAGCAGAATCACTTTCAACCCATTCTTTCGCTCCTCCGTTCTGTCTTTCATCCCTCCAGGTCTGACGATGTGGCGGGTTAATGGTGGGGGCTTGGTGTCGGGTCGGGGGGCCTCGGTCAGACGGCTGTGGAGGGGCCTTCCCGCTGACCTGCCTCGTCTTCACGCTGTGCTCGAGAGGCAATCCGATCACGCCATCATCTTCATCAGCGGTACAGAATAGTCACTTAATGTTCACACAGAATCAGTCTAACAAAGGTTTATTTTCCACACACAATCTTTTATGTCAAATCATGATGAATGAAAGAATCCTTCACTTAAAGATTTGAAAGAGAGAGTCACAGTTTATGGACTCAAAGAACAAAACTTAAATTCATGTTTACATCTATCCTGTTCCTCTAAACACTTTGGACAACTTTTTAGCATCAGATCTATTTATTTGTTTCACACCTGAGACATAACGTGGGTGACAACTTTCTGCACATGTAAAGGTGATAAACATGAGACAACGATAACAATACAGCCTAACATCTGCAGGGATGTCTGCTTCTTGTTCAGTCACTCTCTCTCTTTTTCTCCTCTTAGCTTCATCTGTCGCCGTCCTCTTTGAATCAAACAGTACAGAGACGGCCTAACTGGCTGCTTTTATAGATGAAGGCTGCTGTGTGAACTAGTGCTGTAAAGCCGTACACACTTCTCTCACGCTCCCAAAGTTACATAGTTCATTAAACAGGCGATCAGGTCGCGCTGTAGACATGGAAGAGACGCCATTCTCCCTGTTGAAAGTTATTGTGCTATTAGATAAACCTTTATACCTATTGTTTAAGGTAGAAAAGTTACATATCACTTTAAAGGGCCCATATTCTGCTCTTTCTGGTTTTATCTGCTCTTTAGTGTGTTTTCCAAGTGTCCCGTGCATGTTTAGGTACATCTATGTGTAAAAATTCAAAGTCCGCGGAAACGCGGCTTCTCCTACATCCTCCTGTTAGCTGTAGCATTAGCTGCATGTAACGCTCGGTTCTAGCCACCCTCGAAATGTGCCAGTCTGACGTCTTGTCAGTGTGAGATCACTGATCTAAGCCCATTGGCTCGTTGTGGCAAGCCCTGCAGCTCATGTTGCACGCCCGTTAACTTCTGTAGCATGCACATTATATGCCGTAGCCTGCGGTAGCACAGTAGTGCTAAGATGTTTTTGCTCCCCTGCCCTTGGAGCCAGAGTGGATGAGCGACTGACCAATTACGGCAGAGCCGACAGGCCGACCAATCAGATCAGACTTGGCACACCTGAGGACTCTGAACGTGGGCACTTCAGAGCCTTAGAGAGAGAGTCAGAAGCAAGCCGGTGCATGGAGCGGCAGTACATGAACACAGACACTTTTTTCTGCCACTTTCTTTGTTGTGAACATACTTTAGTAGGTACATAGATTAAATATATGAACCCCAAAAAGGGTGTAATATGGGCTCTTACATAACTAATACATTTATTCTCTGTACTTGTGTACTGTCATCATGAAAAGAGCTTCAGAAACAAACAATGTTTCTGTTCCAGTCTGTGAACATGTTTAATTCTGCTGTACAGTTGGAGCTCTATGAGGATCGACTCGATGTTTTTGCCAGCCTCTAGTGGCCATCCATGGAACTGCAGTTAATTTTCCATGCCTCAAGGTTTCTGCTTGCCCACAGCTTGTTTTTGTGGTTGCTGTGAATCTGGAGAGAAATAAAGACACCAACCTCCAGGTGTTTTCTTGCTGCAGGTTCACAGTTCTGGCTGTTCAGGGATCTGTCCCTGCAGGATGGCTACCCTCAGCCTCTGTCCTCCCTGAGGATGGGGCTGAGCTTAGCTGGAGCCGATGCTGATGATGGTGAGGTGGACGAGGCAGCAGCAGTGAGGTGGGGTCTGGTGTGGGATCCACTGGAGGGTCCTCTGTGGGGGAACATGGGAGCCGCTGAGGAAGATCAGCAGGAAGACACCTGGACTCAGCTGCTGAGGGAGGGTGTGAGCGGCATCACCACGGAGAGCGATGGTGAGGACAGGACCTGTGTTTGTCTGACATGCTAGAGGAATCAACATTTAAGAAGATCGTAATTTGATATATTATATAAGTATGTATTATATATATATATATATATATATATATATATATACACACACGTCATAATTTGACAATCAACATATAAAAAGGTACGATGGAAGGTAAAATGTGTCATTCTATCAAAGTTTTCGTCTCTGCTGTTGCTAGGCAGAAATCGCTTTATTTTAAGCTCTATAACTGGGGGTACTTCTATAAACTTCCATCTCCGTGGGTGAGCTTAGTTTTCATTCACTTTATGTGAAGTTTTTCCACCCTCTATCTGCGCTAGAATCACAAGCTTGCCTAAAGTTAGCCAAAGGTTAGCCAGAGTTCGGGGAATCTGCTTGTGGCTCTGCTCTCACTGAGCCAGTGTTTGCAGTCGTACGACCAAAATATCAAACATGAACATGCCGGGAAATCATTCTACTGGTCGCAAGCAGCTGATCTGTCGTTGTGCCTCAGTGCTGCACGACTGATATCACATGATGGGGCTGAAATTTGTCCCCGACTTCAATATCAGTCGTGTGACTCAGTTTCTAAATAAGCCTATATGGTACAGTGTATGGCCAGCTTAAGCTAGAACACTGTCATACAGTCTCTCCAAAATCCCCCTCAAAAGATCATTTTTTTAACATTCAAATTAAGGACTGAAATGTGAGGGTGTGAGTTTTTTTTACAGTTACATCGGATATCACAGAGATTCCTATAAGAATGAATGGACTTCCAGATGACTTGCCTCGGTACACATACGAGTGGAAACGAGGCGTTAAAGTCTTTAATTTAGCCCTCGTACTTTGTCATAGAAAATGCTGGTGATGATGATGATGTGATTTCTTTTTGCAGATTCACATGTGACAGAACATGCTAGAAAGAAAATCTAATATAGTTCAGAGTAAAGAAGCTTAAGATTAAGCAAAGAAGATTAATAAGATGTAAGACAGGAAGGGAGGGATGTAGAATAAAGCACTTTGAAAATGATGTAACAAACAGGATAAAATGAAAAAATAACGTTTTAAGTTTATAAAATGTATTGTCTTTGCCTGCAGGCTCGGTTAACCTCTTCAAAGGAGACCTGTACTGGAAGTTCTCGTTTCCCGGCTCCTTGCTGCAGGACGGTTACCCACGATCCTCTGCTGCTGACTGGCTAGACTGCCTTGACTCCTCCTCCTCACCTGTGGTGGACGACCTCTCCTTGTCTCTGTCTCCTCCTGCAGGACGGCAGGAGCTGAGAGAGAGCTGGAGGGAGGAGAGAGAGAAGGAGGAGGCAGGTGGAAGGAGGAGGGGCGGACATGAAAATAGACATAAAGACACACAGGGCGGAGGGGCACACACCTGGACACAATGCACCTGCCAGAGCGCTGCTCCTGGTGGAAGGACAACCTCTATTCTTGTTCTCTTCACTTTGTTCCTGTTGGCTACTCAGAGCTGCACTCAGACAAAATAAGTCAATGGTCTTACTCAGGTTTCTTCAGCGCTGAAGACATTATAGACAAAACGAATAAAAAGATGCAATAATGATGCTGTTAAATCACACAATAACAGTGGACTTTATATATATACTTTATATGCACTGCTCAAAATTTCCAGACATTCTCCCGATGTGTGTACAGCATGTGTCCCCGAGTCTATCCTGAATTTCTCCTGCCAGCCTCCAAGTTGAAGGTCTGCAAGAAGTCAAAGTCAGTTGATGTGTGAAAAGTTCAGAAAAACTCACCACTACCAAGTGGGAGTGGGTGATAACGTTTATATCAATGTGAAAACGGTGGGATCTTTGTTGAGACTTTGTTTTTTCTTTGCCACTCTTTCGTTGATACTTAAACCTGTCCTACACTAAAACCTTGGACTGTGTTTCTTCGATGCAGCTTGGCTTTGTTTAAAACATTCTGCAGTACTTTTTCCATCCTAGAAAGTAACTCTCCCTCGGTTAGGGTCTTGTAAAAAGGGAACACTGAAAAAAGTCTATCCTGAAATTTGTGAGACGTTGTCTGGAGTACGTGTTAAACGGGCTACGGAAAATCAACAGCCTTTGCTATTTTTTTCATGTTTCTCTCAGGGTAACACTTAAAGATCCAGCTCTAACACACATTATCAGGGTCAAAGACCCTCAATGCACCTTGAGCATCGAAGGTTTGGCCCCTTAGGCTGCAGCAGAGGTGAGCAGTGGCATGTATCTAACTTCACACACATGGAATATACTCACTGCTGGATTATGAACACTGCAGGAATATACTGACTGCAGGAATATACACACTGCAGGAATATACACACTGAGGAATATAAACACTGCAGGAATATAAACACTGAGGAATATACACACTGCAGGAATATACTCACTACAGGAATATGAATACTACAGGAATATACACACTGCAGGAATATACTGACTGCAGGAATATACTCACTGAGGAATATACTCACTGCAGGAATATACTCACTGCAGGAATATACTCACTGCAGGAATATACTCACTGAGGAATATACTCACTGCAGGAATATACTCACTGCAGGAATATACACACTGCAGGAATATAAACACTGCAGGAATATACACACTGCAGGAATATACACACTGAGGAATATACACACTGCAGGAATATACTCACTGCAGGAATATACTCACTGCAGGAATATACATAGTGCAGGAATATAAACACTGCTGGATTATGAAAACTGCAGGAATATACTCACTACAGAAATATGAACACTGCAGGAATATACACACTGCAGGAATATACACACTGAGGAATATACTCACTAAAGAAATATGAACACTGCAGGAATATACTCACTGCAGAAATATGAACACTGCAGGAATACAAACACTGCAGGATTATAGTCAATGAGGATTATACACACTGCAGGAATATACTCACTGAGGAATATAATCACTGCAGGAATATACTCACTGCAGGAATATACTCACTGCAGGAATATACTCACTGAGGAATATACACACTGCAGGAATATACTCACTGCAGGAATATACTCACTGCAGGAATATACATAGTGCAGGAATATAAACACTGCAGGAATATGAACACTGCAGGAATATACACACTGAGGAATATACACACTGAGGAATATACACACTGAGGAATATACACACTGCAGGAATATACACACTGAGGAATATACACACTGAGGAATATACACACTGAGGAATATACACACTGCAGGAATATACACACTGCTGGATTATGAACACTGCAGGAATATACTCACTACAGACCTCCGTCTGAGAATAAAGTTAGATATTGTTATCACAAAAGGAACAAAACCAACAGTTTCACTTTCTGCCTCTGTGTTACTCAGAGATAAAGCTATGATAGTGGATATTAATGAATTAGCTGATCAGTGCCTATAGGCAAACAGGAGAAGGAAATGAGGACTTTGTGTTGTCCCCCATCTCCTCTTGCTGCTATCAGAGCTATGATCCAACCCATCCTAATGTACTGTTCCACCTCATTCTTATAATGTTATCTGTAAAAAAACAAGGTGGGTTAGGACCCCCTCGAAAAATGAGATGGTACATCTCAAGGGACTATCCTTTACTAAATAAATAAAATATGCATCATAACCACAGGTGCCCACACACAATCCAGAAGAACTCAACAACATGCCTCAATAGAATAGGACATCACACATCCACTGAATGCCCACTTCACCTAGAGCACTGAGGGGCCTGCTGCTAAAGCTGCCCTGAACAAAAGGCCTCGCTGAACAGGCCAGAGTGGGAACTTTTGATTGTTGTTAAATTTGGTTTGTTTTATACACATATGGAATTTCCCCATGGGGACAATAAAGTCTAAAGACAGGAGTTTCTCTGACCCATGCCTGACATTTAACACTGCAGATAAAGACACAAGTTTCAACTTTAAAAAGGGACTATAAAGCTGGTGAACACAGACGGTAAAGATAAAACCTCCATGTTTCTACAGAAAGAAATAATCAGTTAGAGTAATCACAGTTTTCAGAGATTTCCCTCACGCGACCGACATGAAAGGTGTACAACAGAGAATCAATCTTTTATTACTAATTCTGCAGCCTTGTATGTCAAGTTATGACAGGAGTATATTCTCACTTTGACACAAACCTAAGAACATCAAAGTAACATCAGAATTTTGTGTTCTTACCCTCAGCTACCTGCGAAAAATGCTTAATCTTTCCATGGAAGTGTCAATGGCAAAACAAAAGTTCAGCCACTGTGCAGAAAACAAATCGACCTGTGAGGGAAATCACACTGGTCACTCACTGAGTGTGGGGAGTGTCAGGTGTGTGTGTGACTGATTGGCCCTGGTTTGGTCCAGGTGTGTTAAGGTTAAATGTTGAGTTGTGCTGGATTATTGTTTCACCATCAGAGATAGTGAGAGGTTCTCTCTGTGTTTCTTGTTCCCTCTAGAAGTGTGTGATTTTGCTTAAGCACCACTTCACTTTCCTCTGTGTGTTTGCTTACTATTTCCAGCAGATCTACAAGCGTAGTTTGTTGGTGCTGGTAACGTCAGACCAAGCCTTTTTGTTTCTTTGTAAGCACGGGCCTGACGACCTTTGTGTCTCAGCTGTTTCTTGGGTTTGCCCTTTAATCGAAACTCTAAAGTTTGGAAACATTATTTTGGTCAATTATTTTGCCCCTTCAATAATACTAATTGGTGTTGTATTTTATATAGTTGGAAAGCCTGATTAGTCACCTTTACAACGAGGTATAACTTTTAAGGATCGTGCATTCGTGGAATGAGCAACACATCTACACGTGTGGGTAGCGCCCCAAAAAAATGTGCCAAAATCCCCTGCAATGTTCTTCTGTTAGTATTCACTCATGTTTTGAGTTGCTTGGTGAAATGGATGATTGCACTCTCAAACAGTAATACGCTTTTTACACTTTATTAATTTTACACTGTCAGGGACCTCAGTAGTGTGTGGAAGATCCATACACAGCCACAACAGCTTGGCACCTCCTCCTCATGCTGGTCACCAGCCTGGTCACATTTCGGAAAGGGATGGCATCCCATTCCTCAACCAGGAGTTGTTGAAGGTCATCAGCGTGGTTGTGTTGGTCACTCTGGCATGAACAGCATGCCCAAGATGATCCCACAAGTGCTGTCAATTAGGTGCCAATCAGGTGCCAGTCATATAACTGGCACACACATGGCAGCACTTGAACAGGAGTGAATACCAACAGAAGAACATTTCAGGGGATTTTGGCACATTTTTTTAGGGCGCTACCCACACGTTAAGCTGTGTTGCACATTCCACGAATGCACGATCCTTACAAGTTATACCTCGTTGTAAAGGTGACTAATCAGGCTTTCCAACGATACTGTGACATCCAGCTCTACATCTCCACCAGATCCATCCCCATAGCAACCTACACCACTCTGACCCAATGTCTCAGAAATATAGAACCTAGATGCAAACCAACTTCCATCAACTAAAGTGTGACTAATCCGTTGTGATAAAGATCAGTCCAAAATCCATCACCAAAACCGACCAACGTTTCTGTCTCCCAACTGACAACTCAACCCTGTTTCCCTCTCCACCCATTCAAAACCTCAAAGTCATCTTTGATAGCTAAGCTACCTCTCATACTACAACATTAGTATCAGTAATATCACCAATACTGCCTTCTTCCATCTCAAAACATAGCACATCATCGCCTATTGCTCTCCATCTCTGCTGCCGAAACGTTGATCCTCGCATTCAACGCATATAGAATTGACTCCTGCAACAGCCTTCTTCATGGTTCATCATCCAAAGTCCTCAATAAACCTTAGCACATCCAAAACCCTGCTCCCACTGCTGTGACCACATCATCCCTGTCTTCCAGAACCTTCACTGGTTCCCAGTTCCCCCAACGAATAAAGGTTCAAAGCCCCCTCTGAGGCCCCCTCCTACCTCGCTGACCTGTGTTAATATTTTTCTGTAAAGTGTCTGAGTGGTTTGAAAAGCGTTATTTAAATAATAGAACATTATAATCATAATTATTAAAAATATAATACCTTAAACCTTAATACCTTCAAACAATATTCCCAATTAATCAAAAAGCTGCATTTATTCATATTGATGATTAGTCAGATGTTATGACCACCCACACGGGAACTCCCCACTGGCTGGAGGAAGAATTAAGAAGGGGAATCCTCAGATATCACGTCATCTTCGTGAGCGCAGCACAGAGTTCACTGTGGTTGCAGTGAAACACTCAGAGAAAGACAGGCAGTGAGATAAGCTGCTTTCTTTCACGCTAACAGAGGCTTGAGAAGATCAAGATAGCATTAAGGAGAAAATGCGAGTAAATCTATCAAGTAACATGCACCCTTACTAACAAACACCCAAATCTTTATGTTGAGAACCTTTCCAGTACCTTCTGCAAACTCTCTTTATTCATAAGCGTGTATTTTTCCAGCACGGCAGAATCTTAACTTTTATCTCAGCCATCATTTCCTTGAAGTTCTCATGTTTGAGTAGATTTTCACACGCATTTCAGGTTTCCAATAGTTTCAAGAGCTTTTATACGTAAACACATATTATACGTAAATAGGCGGCTTCATGTAGATTTGACACAGAAGTATAAATCAGGCTGTACAAACCATTGGTTTCATTACCAACAAAGCTGCACAAAGCAAGGCATTAAAATGAGGGAAGTACCTTGCCTGAGTTGTGTTCTTCCTCATTAAATCCTTTTGGATCCCTTCTCTAATTTGGGTGACTGTTGGCTGCTTTCAAACCTGCCACAAACAGACTGTCCCTTTTTATCATGGCCCGTCTGCTTTCTAAGAGCTCTGTGGGTTAAAGTCAAGGACCCTCAGAGGACCAGCTGTGACAGAGACAATGCCTGCTGCTAAAACCTGATGTGACAAAGTAGCACGAGCCAAACATGGACAATTAATTCAGGAAAAAAGGGGACAGAAAATCAAGTTAAACTTGCCTTCAAGCTTATGAAGCACTTTATGGAAAGCCTAAAAAACACCTTTGAAAGTCAGGCACAGACTCTCCTTTGACTTTAGATGCAAGAGAGAGGTCACCGTCGAGTGCTTCATTCCCCATGATAATGTGGAAGCTATACATTCATGCAAATACTTGGCTATGTATTTGGATGACCAACTCAAATATAATGTCCGTTGTTAAGCAGGGCCAACAGAGAGTTCACCTTATCAGAAAACTGAACGTTTTGATCAGTCTTTCATTGAGAGTCTTCTTTGTTTCTCATCTCATGCTGGTTTCACAGCCTCTCAGTGAAGGGCAGAAACAATCTGAACAGCATTGTTAAAAACTGTTCAGTGTGAAACTGAGATTTGAACTCATTTTGTAACCAGCAGATCCTCCGAAAGACTCAAAGTATTTTAGCTTCTCCTGGTCATGTGCTTTTTCGTGAATTGACCTGTCTGCAAAACTAACCGTCATTCCAAATCTTTCATCTTTGCAGTCAGATGACTCCAGTCTGGTTGATTACTAATCAGCCTGCTTAACATTGGTATCTCCTTTAGGTCCTTTTCTATATTAGAGCTCTTTGGTATAACTCGTTGTCTGTACGTCCCTGTGGTTTACATGATTTTCTATTCACAAGCTGCTCCAAACCAGTTACCTCAAAAGTGATTAATAGTCGTTTGAATTGAGACTTGAATTTTTTGATTTAGATCATAAACAACAACATTTTTCAAAAATGTAATTTTACAAGACTTAAACTAATTAAGAAGAAGACTATACTTTATTCATCTCTCAGGGTCACTTACCGCAAAACGACAAGAACATTGCCTTTAAGTTGATTTCCCATCATACATCTGGTGCAAATTTACAACTTCAACTTTTCAGCAGAAATCAGTTTATTTTTGGGAGGAATTTCACAGCTGGATTTTGGTAATAATGATTGATTTAAGATTAGCATAAATCAAATTTGGTTTTGTAGTGGAGGACAAGAACTGGGTCAGACTTGTCATGTATTTTTTCTTTTTTGCACAAATGTAAATTCTTCACAATTACCCCCTGATTTATATTTATTTAAAGTAATCCACTCTAAAAGATCTAAGTATTTATTTTACCTTTGTGAAAGACGTTCTAGTTCATCACTTAGTCAGACCGCAAACAGCAGTTAAAAATAGAATTTAATTATTTTACTGTGATTTTTTTTCTTTCTTTAATAAATTTCCTTTTAATTTTTGTCTTCTTTTTGCTTCTGTTGTTTGTGTCATATTGGCCTTGTTCACAGATTTTTTTTATCATTTACATCCACTCAGTCTGAAACTGTATTTCTGTCACAAATCAATTATGTCACTCAATCATTTCTTTCGACCTTTTCCTTCTCCACTCTATCATGGTTCAAAGAGACGTCAAAGAGGAATTCTTGCTCTCTCCACAACTCCAGGAGGAACACACCATTCCTTCACCTTCCCACCATGTTTACTAGTTTGCAGCTTCCTGTTCTGTGATGGTGACACTGCTCTTATTGGTTGTTTGCAAATTGCATGAGACAACACTACAGGCCTAGGATTATATTAAAGGGGACATATTATGAAAAATCACATATGATTGAGGTTCATGACCACCTTACACCAAATGACTGAGATCACAGGAGCATGCCTCACCTCGAGCAAAACACTTGTGATTTTATTTCAACCATGGCTTTGAAATCGTTTAAAAAGTATTCAGTGTAAGACCAACTCACACAGATAATGTGGTTGGGGGTCCCTTTATTCTTGCAGTCCTCAATCAGACCCAAACTGGCCTAGACGTTCTGAGCATGCTCCATAGTTCTCAAGGACAGAAGTCGTAATAAATTACCAAATCAAGCTTTAACTGTAGCTCCACTTAACAGTGCATGTAAATGCACTGAAATAGTAGATGTTAATCCTCTCTCCCCTCCCACATTTCCCAAAGATGAACACTATGGGCTTAATTTAGAACTTTAGACAGCAGAGGAGGTGAAACCTGGGCGAAGAGTTGTCTGTGTCTGACAGCTCAGAGAGGATGCTCATTTCTAACCAGACGAGCCAGTTCAGCCTGAAGGTGTGGATGGAAACATTTCCTGTGGAGGGGAGCCTTTGGACTCTGACGTGACACTTTAAACAAGGAACGTACTTCTATTCGGCAATCTTTGCCTTCTCATCATCAGAAGGGTTCCTAAAAACCTATTCTTTTAGCTTCACATCTGACTGATCACAAAGGCACAATACTTATGAGGGACACTTGGATTTTGTCAAGTCATATTTTGGAGCATCAACAACAAGTCAAGCAACCTTCCTTGGAACAGCACAAAACACAAGGACAACAAATACA